CCGAACATCCATACTTGATCCCGAGCCCAGATGAAGGTGGTGATCGACTGATGATGGTGACTAGATACATGGAATTAGTAGCTGCTGCTCCAAGAGGTTACCGGACGGTGAAGTTCAAGGTTTACAAGCTGGATGATGAGGATAGGAAGGGATGGGATGAGGTTGCAAGCATCGGGGATTTCGCCATTTTCGTTGGGTTCAACTCTGCCTTCTCCGTTTCCACCAGAGACCATTCGGGACTGGTTCCAAATTCCATTTATTTCACTGATGACTTTATCGACTGGCACCAAAGGCACAAGCTAGGTGGTCATGATATGGGCGTTTACAGCCTCAACACTCGTGCCGTGAAGCCCTTGTATTCTACCTCCTCTCAACATCCTAACCCTTTGCTCATTTCGCCATTGCCTGTCTGGATCCTCCCATCCAACTAGCTAGTTTTTGGTTACTTTTTTTTGACTAATACCACTACAATATCTGAACTATCCGAAAAATATCACTTGTGTTATATTGTATCAAATATTTCATCTGTGTCCTGAACTATTACTCCATTAGTGTTGACTGGCGTTGACCGTTAAAATTTAACAGATTGTCTTGTCAGCGTTGATGTGGAAAATGACATAGAATTTTAAATTTACTTTTTATTTATTTTATCCTATCACTTAACAATATAATTAAAATAAAATAAAAACCTAATTTATTTATCTCTCGTCTCGTCCTCATCCCCACCCTCGATTTCTCCATCGTTCGTCATCTTAACCCCCCTCAATCGGCAGAGAGTTTCTCGGTTGCGACCACAAACTTAGTCCTCCCGGCATACTGCTTTCGTTGGCACATTTTGTCGTCTTCGAGCTACGGAATCCCCCAAGTCGACACATTCTCCGATGAGGAAGTGGATGAGGCCGTCGTTTTTCAGTTCTCTATGTTTTCGGAGCTGTGCCAGTGACGGAAAAGGAAGTTTCAATTTTCTCCTTTGGTGGCGGTGGAGCCGGAGAGGTGCACGAGCGAGAGTCAAGAGCTTCCTCGACCACCATCAATTTCTCTTCTCCCTAGGGTTGGAAACGGGAAGGGAGATGGGGCTGGCGGGTTGAGAATCACAATTTCTAGGGATTGGATTTGCTGTCGATGAAGGGTGAATCGCTGGGCGTAGAAGGACGGAGATGCAAGGGGATTTGCTACTGATTAAGGATCTCTGAGGAGGTGGTGGTGTTGCTCCCCTGCTTGTCGGACGACTCCCACTACTGCAACTTCCATCTTCTTCCTTTCTCTTTCTTCATCGAGCCTGGGCGAGAGTAGGAAGATTAGTCGTCGCCGAAGCCAATCCTCTGCAGTCCAACCGCCACTTCATCCAAGGTTTCCAATTCCTCGCCCGAGCCAGATCCGCCGCCCTCTCCCTTAAGGATCCAGCCCCGCTCGTCCTCAAATCCGTTGCAGAGAGGAGAGAGACGATCGACCAAATCAATGGAGATTTTTTTTGAAATTTTGGGTTTTAGAATATTATTTAGTAATATTCTTGAATTTCAATTTTTTTCAATTTTTTATTTTCAAAGTTTTATTTAAATTAAATTAAAAATGTGAGGTGTCAATCTTCTTCCTTACAATCGGTCATTCTCATACTTTACTAACACGCTTATCCTCTGACATGCTAGACACGCTCGTCCAGTGTCTCTAAAGAATATAAACTGCAATTATTACACAAAACCTAATTAATGGATAATGAACCTATGAGTATGGTTATGGATTCATAGCAAACTGTTGTACCTACCATCTTTTAAGTGCACCTAAGAGGTCGTGTGTTTAATTGAATGTGTGGAAGACTAAATCCATCCATAACTTAGTCCAAAATATATGTCTACTTTTAGTGGAGTAGGTAGATGAACCTATTAGTGAAAAATGTAATGTACAAAACATAATTTTGCTATATTCAACAAGTGTTCATGATTTAACCTCATACATATTCTTCATTTGTATGTTTCAAATTGAAGTTGATACATGCCCATTATATTTTGCACCTAAATTAAATGATAACGATAAACTGGTTAGTATATCTATTACTTATAATAAAACGAGATTATCTTGCTTTTAGTAATTTTTTTAACACACTGTATATAGAAATAGGCTTTTATTGGCGTTAGAGAGTTTTAACCTACTGGTTCCAATTATCCATCGTCGTTCATGGTAATTAAAAAAAAAAGCCCATTGAGGGTCTTTGCTCAATTTTGCTTCTGAGATGGTACCATCCCTGGTTTTATCCATCTTTAGTCAATGGCGGGTGACGTGGGTTCATCAATGGAGTGGCAGGCAGGCCACCGTAGATCCCAAATCCCGGCCGCCACCACCACTGGCCAGAAGCCACCACCGCTAATACCGACATGAAAGGTCGATAGATAATGCAACCGGATCTCTTTATAAAGAGAGAAAATACAAGCCGTCTTTTTCTCTTCCCCCGCCACTCTGTCTACTTTCCCTTTTCCTTTTAATTTTCTCAGAAACCAAACAACCCGTGGAGCTTTCTTCCCATCCCTCTGTGGGAAAGAAGAGAAGGAAATTTGCTATTAATTCATACCCCATAAATAATTAATTAATATTTCCTTTATAGTAAACCGGATTACGGGGGGAATAATTAATGAGGAGGAGGAAAACCAAACGGCAGCTCCGGCAGCAGTTCCTTCCCGTCTAATAATCTTCTTCTGTCTCTGTTTTTTCCCCTTCCTTCCCGCCCTTCCCTCCGGTTCCGGCAGATGCGCAGGCGGCTGCTCGCCGCCCCGCCGCTGCCATGAAGAAGGATCACCGGCGGAATCGTGACGACGTCGTATGGAGCAGGTTCTTCTGGTGCACGATCTTCATCGTCATCTCTTGCGTCCTCTTCACTGGCTTCAATTTCTCCTCCTTTCGATTCCTCTTCTTCCCTCCTCCTGGTAAGTGAAAAAGATTTGAAATTTCCCTTATTCGAATTGAAAATGATTAATGATCCCTTTTCATTTCCTCTTTCGAATTCGGTTGATTGGTTATATTATTGATGTTTGCTCGCCGTTGACAGAGAGGCTGCAGCCGGAGATAGTACCGAGATGGCGGATGGATGCCGTGGCTACCGCCGGCGGCCACGGACACGACTCTCCCGGGAAGTTGGACGGGAAGAAGAAGAAGGTGTGGATTCGGGAGACGGTTATCCTTCCTGACCAGGTTCTGCTCTTCCTAAACTACCCTCCCTCCTCCGCCGCCACGTCACCACGTTTATTGACTCGCGACGATCTCGATTGCGTCTACAACTTCTCCTCCTCCCCGACGGCTAGGCAAAAGAACGCCTCGCGGCCGCCCAACCGAGTCGACGGCGAGATCGTTCGGTGCCCCCTGCTCGACCGCTCCGCAGCCGTTTCCCTCTCGGTGAAATCGGCCGACGCATACGCCGGCGGGGAAGTTCTTCTAAACGCGCCCCCAGCTCTCGCGTGGCATTCCCTGGCGTACGAGGCGCTGATCGACCGCGACAACACCACGGTGGTCTTCGTGAAGGGCCTCAGTCTACGGCCGGATAAGCTCTACAACGTGTCGCGATTCGAGTGCGTGTACGGCTGGGATTTCACGAGGCCCAAGTTCATCCTGCGGTCAGAAGTCATCTCGATCGCTCAAGAGATCGCACGGTGCAGAACGCCCCTCAGCCTCCTGACCAATCCCTTCAATAGCTCAATCAAAGTCACCGTCCGGGTCAAAGGCAGGGTAACCCTCAATTCCGTCGCCCAGCCCCGACCCAACCCTGAACCAGAACCCGGGCCAAAACCGCACCAATTGTGCATCTGCACGATGCTCCGTAATCAGGCCAAGTTCATCAGAGAATGGGTGATGTACCACGACGAGATCGGCATCTCTCGATGGTTCATCTACGACAACAACAGTGAAGACGAGATCGAATCAGAGATCACGTTGTTGACCGGTTCCGGTTACAACATTTCCCGTCATGTCTGGCCGTGGGTGAAGACTCAAGAAGCCGGGTTCGCCCACTGCGCGATACGAGCTCGCCCTTCCTGCGAGTGGGTCGGGTTCATCGACGTGGACGAGTTCCTCCACCTCCCATCGGGCCAACCGCTGCCCGAATTCCTCACCAACCTAACCGAAGGCACGGGCGGACTCCTACTCCCTTTCCAGGTCGGGGAAGTTCGGGTGGCCTGCCATAGCTTTGGTCCATCCGGTCTAACCCGACCCCCAACCAAGGGCGTGATCGCAGGCTACACCTGCCGGCTGTTCGCGCCCGAGAGGCACAAGAGCATAGTGAGGCCCGAGGCATTGAATTCGTCGCTGGTGAATGTCATCCACCATTTCCATCTGCGGGAAGGGTTCGGATTCGTGGACGCGGATCGAGCCAGGATGGTGATCAACCACTACAAGTATCAGGTTTGGGAAGTGTTCAAGGAGAAGTTCTACAGGCGGGTGGCGACCTACGTGGCGGATTGGCAGGACGAGCTGAACGTCGGGTCGAAGGATCGGACACCCGGGTTGGGGACCAGAGCGGTCGAGCCGGATGATTGGTCGAGCCGGTTCTGCGAGGTGAATGATACCGGGCTGAGGGATGAGGTGGTCAGTCGATTTTCGGACCCGTTGACGGGTACTCTGCCGTGGGAGGATGAAGCTGAGACTATGCGGCAAGGGTTGTGAAGATAGATGGCGAGTTTTGGTGATGTTTGTGGCTTTGTTTGGTTCATTCTATTTGTAGATATAGAAGGGTGCACACTGTGTATACATGTAATAACCAGAGGGAGAGAGGGAAGTCAGGTGATTTGGCTCGTGTACAGAGGGTTAATTTAGAACAGAGGTATTTGATTACGATCCTGAATTAGTGGTGGTTTTGGGTTGAACCAATTTTCAGGAATGCACAATCGACGATTAGATTTTACCTCTGATTGAATTGGTTAATTTTATTGAGTTGTGATTACTGCATTCAAGATTTTATCCTAACCTGATTTCATTGGTCTATTCAGAGGGGAAAAATTATGTACTGGAGATTGCATTATATCAAATGTGTTGTTGATCGGGTTCTGATCAAAATTCTAGATGCTCTAGTGTCGATTGGATTACACTGCAGGTGTGACAAAGGAAAGATGGACGGTACGAGATTGTGAGGGTGCACCCAATGCCACTGCTCTCAGAAGTACCTGATTCTTAGCGGTACGCGACAAGGAGTACAGGACACGATAAGGCTTTCTAACTTCGAAATAAAATTCGACCGTTGCGTTTCACTTCTCAGAAACCCTCGTCGGCTCTGCGTCTGCGATCTCAAGCGAAACTATTCGACTTTCTCTACGTCCCTTCACTCTCTCTTTGCTTTTCTTTCCATCTCCACTGTTGGGACACGAGCGCGGATCGAGATCGGGAAATGGCGGGGAAGGACCCGATTCAGAAGGAACCGAACCCAGTCGGGACGGTTACCGCCGGTCAGAACTTGGAGTCTCTGTTCAGCCCAAGGTTCAAGTCAGCGGCGGCCTTGGCTGGGTGGGACGAAGAGTCCATTTTACTTGCTAGCCTTATTGTTGAAGACACGCCCGATCGGGATTTCAAGCAGAGGAAAAGATCCGACCCCCTTTTCAAGACTCCGCCTTCCAACAGTTCCAGGAGGTATAGAGAGAAACAAATTCATAAAGATTCCATCTTTTGCCGTTTTTGAATGAAATTGAGAGGCAATTTGATTTGGGTTTGGTGTGACTGATGTATTTCAGGAAGCGTAGGGTTCAGAGGAGGAGTCCGTTGCCTGCGACTGTTCTCAATCTTGATGAAGAAGAACCCTCGAAAAAAGAAGGTACTTGATTATTTCTTTGTGAACTATTGGAAATGGAGGAAGTTGAGTTCTTATGGTTGTTTTTTCGTTGTTGGTCTGGAATCAATGGCAGTGAATGATAACAAGAAGAGTGAGTCACAAGCGGTGGTGAAGGAAGAAGAGAAGAAGAAATCCGAGAAGAAGGATGGAGAAGGGAATAAAGAAAATTCAGAGGCTTCATGCTCAAATTCTCTTCTTCCTTGCTTGGATAAGCTTAGAGATGAACTTTCCTGTGCAGTAAGATGCTCAACAGATATTGTATTGATGTTGTCTGCTCTGAATAAGACTTGGAAGGCTATGTGCTAAAGTAGTTTTTTGGTATTTGGCAGATTTGCTTAGAGATATGCTATGAACCTAGTACCACATCTTGTGGGCACAGGTAAAACTCCCAACTTCAACTCCTATTGCTTTGTTGTTAAGGATCTCATTATTATGTGCACGGTCTAAGAGTGGGGTGTTCTTTGTTCTGATCTGATGTTCTAGTTTCTGTAAGAAGTGTTTGCGATCTGCTGCTGATAAATGTGGGAAGAAATGCCCAAAGTGTAGACAGCAAATGAGGTGAACGACAAGCTTCAGACTACGATTTACTTGTACTGTTTCTCATTGACTTCTAATCTTTGAACAATTTTCTTTTTCTGTGTTGGGTGGAAATGGAAATTACAGCAATGGGAGATCTTGCACAGTGAACACAGTTCTATGGAACACAATCCAGCTTCTATTCCCACAAGATGTGGAAGCAAGGAAGGCAGCTGGGGCATTGAACAGCCGAGAAGCCACTGATCGCGAAATCCCTCAAGAAAGACCAGTTGTCAACAATGAGACGAGAAGGCCTAGTAGAGGTGTCAATCCTAGCAGACAAGGAAGGCCATTGGGTCATAACCAGATTCAGAATTCTGGAACCTCTCAAAGATTGCAAAGAGGAGAGTTAATGTGGTTATCAAGCCGGGATGTTGATAATGATGGAGTTGGGAGGCGAGGAAGAAGGGGAGGGCAAAATGAAGAAGAGGAATCAGCATTGGCTAGAAGGGTTGAAAGAGGAGAAGAGCTTGCAAGGTTGTTGAGAAGAGAGGCAGAAAGTAGAGGGAGAAGAACAATAACAAGAGGAGCTACTGCTGTTGTGCCAAGCCAAGATGGAGATGCTGCTTTAGCATTAAGGCTTCAGAGGCAAGAGCTCATGGAGGCATTTAGGGAACCTGATGAAGGAAGACAAGGAGGAAGAAGTGGTCTGCAATCTGCTAGAGCAAACTTGAGAGCAATGGCGTCTAGAGCTGTCAGCGTTCGATCCAGGGGAGGGCAGTACCTGTAAAAGACTTGTAAGTGGAAGGTAGAATAGAGTTTTTCCTTAGGAGGGATATAATGGTTTGTTTGAAGAGTATCTTTCTCATGATTTTTCTTTTATTTTTATATAACCTGTTATCTTTCTCATGATTTCTAACGAGATTGAACTTTGTACCACATACTTCGATTGAATGAGGGGTACGTAGCCTGATCAAGCATTTATGTTTGTAACTCCAAACATTTGTTTGTTAATTTGATAAACATGGAAGGCATGATGCAGTTGAAAGGAGTGAGTCCATGCAAAGAATGATTGAACTAGTCCCAATTCTTTTTCGATCTTGAATTGAGTTTATCTGACAAAATTATATAAGATACACATTAAAAGGTTTCTTTCAACCGCTCGAATTACAATGACAATTTGTTTTTTTGGGGAAATGTTATGTGTCTGAATCTCCATTGCATCTAAAGTTAACACTTGATTAGCATATGTATGATAGGTGTTCCGTGAAAGTCCGATTCCAGGAAGTTAACTTCTATTCAGAGGCGTGTGAGGGAATGGTAAATGATTTGTAATTGGGATCTCTCCCAAAATAAACTTATTCAGAACATTTTCAAACTGGTTTCAATTTCAAAGGATAAGCAATCCTTATAGGGAATTAACGGGCATGGTTAACTTCATCTCTTATTACAGAGCGGAGTGAAATTGACACTTGACAACATAAATTAAATCGTCCACACAATCTTAATACATTGCCTAAAACCAACCAAGCAACAAAATAGTAATCAATCCTGTTACTCACTGCATATAAATATCACAGGGCCGGCTGACATTTTCAGCTCCAATATATATAGAACCAAGATTGCAATGAAAAGTTCATGGGATAATATATATACATGCGGTTAGTCAGTGATGAGTCCCAGGGTAGGGTGGTAATTAAGAAGACAGAGCCATAAATAAAACTCAGTGATGTGGGTGGGGTTATTGAAAGCGTACGGATCGGATGGTCTCAACATGCAGCAGCAGCAGCAGCCTAATTCTCAGACAGTACGTAGCTCTAGCAACAGATTAAAACCACCCATGGATTGGAAATGGAATGCATGTGCATGCCCAGACCAACCAATATCACACTCTTTGCCAAATTAAACTACTACAAGTCGCACCACCTAATTCCTTTTCTCTAACATCGTGGGAATGCTTTTCATGACCCCAAATCTGAAATCATCTCAACTCATCAACCTTTTAAGTATGAATTCAATTGTAAGATACTGATCAAATTTGACAAACGATGGACAACTATCAGCAAGTTAGCAACACTTGCCATGCACGGAGAATTGACTTACACAAGAGAGCTTTTGAATGTGGCTCTGCTTCTGGGGAATAAGAGATCTCCGCGCGCCACTAGGAAAAAAATGGCTGGGTAAAATATTAACAAGTGGCCTTTTAGTCATAGTTCGTTCCAGTGTTCCATTGGAAGAATTAGCCCTAAAAATTAAAACAATGCCAATACACCTATCATCAACACTAATTTTATTCAACACTTCATTACTCTAAGTTCGGAAGAACAAGACAGTCCCAACAATAAAAGAAGTTAAAAGCATGGAAAAAAGAGCATACAGTATTTTCATATAATATATGTCAAAATTCCTCTTCAATGACAACCGATCCTTCACTAAAATCACTCCTGTTGTTTCGTTGTTGGCCTCCATGTCATTACCATCGTTATTCTCTTCCTCCAATGTGACTAGCATGAAGCTCCCTTCACGATCTCGCTCCCAATGAGTGACTAGCCTAAACCCTATCGTCTCTTCTACCTCATGGTATCGATCATTTGCCGTCGTGGCCTTTTTCGCCACCACCACCACTGCCACAACATGCAAATAGTCCCATTGTTGGATTTGTTCTGGGAGCAGGGGCTTAGTCGCTGCCAACAACATCCTGGCCTCATTCTCGTCGATGCTGAAAATCAACATATCCCCCATTTCAAATAAACAGAAGAATCTACCATCTTTGTAGCCCACACCAAGGCATGTTTGTCCTTTTTTCCCACCCAAGGAGAAATCATATGTTTTTTGCTCAAATCTACCATTGTTTCCACGACGGAACATGCATAGATAGCGGTCACCATACACCACGAGGATCGTTGAGTCCTGAGCAGTGGGTAGCGCTGAGAAAGCAAATTTGAGCACAGTGCCTGGTCCGTAATGGTAGTCGTAGGTAGAAAAACGCCAACTCGGGCTGGGAAGACTAATGTAATTTGCAGGACTTCGAAGTAGAGGATTGTACCAGCCCAAACCAGCGTCACGCACTTTTACAAGCAACCACGCACCAGCCATCCCTAGGATTCTTATGTCTACATTTGCAAGGCAATACGGGATTTGAGATTCACGGCGTCGTTGGAGGACTAGTCGATTACCCTCCCGCACTTGGAAGACGTCCGAGCTGGAAAACTCTGCATTTTTAATAAAAAATGGTCGGGGATTGGAAAGAGCGATGTGAGAGTGAACTTGGTGCCACTTATTGCATACGCCGCTAAAGTGAGTACCGTCAACATGGGACGAGAGTCTGTTGTAGATGGAATTCAAGAGATCTGGAGATACATCAGCCCACAGTCGTTGATCCTCTTGTACGTTCATATTCTATCAACTTTATTTTTGGGATCCTTTTTGTTTTCAATTATTATCGAACTTTTTGTGATTTTGGATGAACTTTTTATTTCTAAACGAGATTCGAGTTTGCAACTTTAAAGAGTTGTATGGTGGAGTTAAAATCGAGGAAATTTGTTAGGTCTACAATTATGCCTACAAAAGGTGAAACTGTAATGTAATTGTTGAACTATTGGTTATAATGCGACGAGAGAGAAATGGCTTATTTAAACGTCAATGAAGTGGTCAATCCTATGAATTTGCTCTTTTCTCAATTATGGTTTCATATTACTTTTTCACTATTCGAAATACATGTGATTCTTTTGTCCTATGTGGTTTAATTCATTGATTGGTTAGTTTCTTGGAGATTTATTAGGATTATGAACATGCGAAAAGAAAGTGTAAATTCCGCATTTGGTGAAACTGCCAATAATAATGTGTTTAGATATGTGTTTAGTTCATGAACTATTAAGTTTATGTTTTAACAAATATGTTCTATTTGAATGTGAATGTTTATATGATTTTCGTAAGGCTAACCGCAACCGGGAGTAAAAGATGAGGTTTAAAGCTAAAATGTCATCTTAGCCTCCTTAAAAATAGTAACAACTATAAACTCATATTTGATAATTTTCTTGTGCTTGGGATGGCGTATTTGAGCTTAAGTCCACTGGTTAGTAAATGATAGGTCTTCTGTACAAATTCAAGTCCACTAGTCGAGTCCCATTTGCAGGACATGTAAGTAAATGATATATGATTCGTAATTGGTATGTCTCCCAACATGTGTCTGAATCTCTATAACCTCAAAGTTAACGCTTGATTAGTATATATATGATAGGTCTTCTGTGCAAATTCAAGTTCAAGGGTTGACTTCCATTTGAGGGACGCGTAAGGAAATGATATATGGTTCGTTATTGGATCTCTCCCAAAAGGCCAAAATGTACTGATTCAGGACAATTTCAAACTGGTTCCAACGGCAAAGGATAAGCAAGCCATATAGGGCATGAACAAGCATGGTTCATCTGTGTCTTTAACTGGCCAGTCTCTTGCTTCTGTTACAAGGTTTCTTTCCCAGCTTGGCATGTGAGGCTGGCAATACTTGTACTGGAATTTTTGGACAACTTATGAAGTCAACTCTATCAGTACAGACTACTAAGTCTCCCCTTTACAGAGAAGTACATTTTACTAGGTCTCGGAATTCTAATGTTCATTTCCACAAGTTGGCATTTTTGAAGTTCTTTTAAGTATATAAAGTTTCCAATTATTAGTTTCATTTACAAACATATATGCTGGTTTTCTGCACTTAGACTCTAATAAATGTCTAAAACAATGCAATGATGCAGCATTTCTCAACCCTCAAGTTAATTAATGCTTCCAAGATCTGACTTTTTCAGCATAAAAAAATTGAAGAACAACCCCAAAAGGCCAAAACCCACCTGCTCCACACAGCACATAGCCATGATATCATTCATCACCTGGGGGATTATCAAAGTTCTTCTTCTATAAGAACCCACCACCTCTATTTGCCCAAAGTACCAGAAAGCTTCTTCCTTTCTTCACAATGGCAAGCACATCATCATCTTCCAGCAGCCATGGCCAGTTGTTCAAGATGGCCACTTTTTTCGTGGTGATAGCATTGCTAGCGATATATGCATCAGCACACGATGGTCCAGGAGACCATATGCACTCACCAGCCCCATCTCCGAATATGGTTGGCCAGCCTGGTGGTTCTTCCTCTGCAGTTGGAATCAGCTGCTCCCGAGCTGCCACATTATCATTTGGTTCATCCATCTTGGCTTTCTTCCTTTCTATGTTTGACTGAGCTCGCTTATATTTGTTCTTTTCGTTGTGATATGATCATATGTTGAAGAATAAGTGGAGCTGGGATGTGATCTTATTGTGTACATCATTCCTTTGTTCATTTGGTGTGGAGACTCATATGTAACACATTGTGAATGTTGTTGGTTTCATTGGTACTCAATGTTTTGTATTTCAACTTATTTATAAATTCTGATCAGACCAACATTTGTTTGTTGAAAATTTGATAAAAGTCATATCTCAACCTTCCACTCTTTGGCCAAGACAACAAAATATGTCAATACAAAGATATTGAATTGTCCCGACTCCAGATTCCTGAAAAGAAAACTCTGTCCTCTGCTGTGAGTTTAACACTACTAAATACGCCATGACGGAGCTATTGCGAGGAGTAAAAGTGTAAAACACGATGAAACGGATCGCCGCCAGGCTAAAGCCCCGGCCTTTACCGCCCGTCTCGCTACCGTGTTCCAGTCCTCAGCCGCCGGCCAGCGTCCCATCCTCTTCTTTGCTGTCGGAGTTCACCAAGTTATGCCATCAGCAAGACTTGCCCAGAGCGATGAAAGCTCTGGACGATTTGGAAACCCATGGACTCCGGGCCGACCCGGCCGTCTATTCCGACCTCCTCAAAGCTTGCCTCTCCCGCCGCGCCGTCCCTCTGGCCCTCCGGCTTCAATCCCACATCTTATCTTCTCCCCACTCTCCCCATACCTTCCTACTCAACATGTTGCTCAGCATATATGTCAAACTCCGTCTCTTGCCTCAGGCCCGTTCCCTGTTCGACGAAATGCCTCAGAGAAATGTAGTCTCCTGGACGACCATCATCTCTGCTCACGCTAACGTCCCCGAGCTCTCCCACAACGCTCTCCACTTCCTCGTCTCCATGCTCTGCCACGGCGTCACGCCCAACATGTTCACCTACTCTTCCGTCTTGAGAGCCTGCGGCTGCGTCTCCCATCTCGTCCAGCTCCATTCTAGCATTTACAAACACGGACTGGAATCCGATGTCTTCGTCAGGAGTGCTCTTATCGACGCTTATTCCAAATGGGGGCTCCCACAAGAAGCACTCTGCGTGTTCGACGAAATGCCTACCGGGGATTTAGTAGTTTGGAATTCCGTCATTTCTGCTTTTGCTCAAAACAGCAATGGCCACGAAGCGCTTCATCTTTTCAAAAGGATGAAGAGAGCTGGTTTTGACCCCGAGCAATCTTCACTGACCAGCGTTCTCAGTGCATGCACTAGCTTAGCACTCTTGGAGCTGGGGAGACAAGCTCATGTCCACGTATTCAAGTACCATCAGGACTTGATCCTCAACAATGCCCTCCTCGATATGTACTGCAAGTGTGGCGGCGTGGAAGATGCCAACACCATTTTCACCCGGATGGCAGACAAGGACGTCGTCTCTTGGAGCACCATGATTGCCGGGCTGGCCCAAAATGGTTACAGCAGAGAGGCACTCAAGTTGTTCGACTCCATGAAAGATTCATCAACACAACCAAACTACATCACACTTCTTGGAGTTCTTTTCGCCTGCAGCCATGCTGGGCTCGTGGAAGATGGCTGGTGCCATTTCCGATCAATGAAGAAGCTTTACGGGATTGAACCTGGCAGAGAACACTATGCTAAAGACTCAAGACCTGAGATTCTTATTATCAACTCAATGTTTATATAGTACAAGGTAACAGAGTGTGCAACGGAAGGAAAGTAACAGAAAGAGTGAAAGCTGGAGAGAAAGATGGAGTACAACGTTCCACAGTTAACAAATAACAAGAAGCCTAAAAGACTGGAAGCAGGTACACTTCATCACCCCCCCGCAAGTTGAGGCTCAGAGAGTCGAAACTTGGAGCAGAACTTGATGAAGGGCTGTCGAGGTAATGGTTTAGTGAGGACATCTGCAAGTTGTTCGGGAGCCGGTAGAAAATGCACGTGAAGCTGCCCTTTGCTGACTTGATCACGCACAAAGTGGAACTCGATTTCCATATGCTTCGACCGATTGTGGAACACTGGATTGTGAGCAAGGAAAGTGGCCCCTAAGTTGTCACACCAAAGAGCTGGAGCTGAGGGCAGCTGCTGTCCTAATTCAGTGAGTAAGGACTGTAACCAGAGGACCTCCGAAGCGAGAGTAGCAAGAGCACGGTATTCACATTCGGTAGACGATCGTGCAACAGACTTTTGTTTCCGTGTTGACCAGGAAACCAAATTCGATCCGCAAAAGACAGCGAACCCAGTTACAGACTTGCGATCCTGTGGGCAAGATGCCCAAGAGGCATCTGAATATCCATGAACATGAAGAGAAGAAGATTTGGTGATGACGAGACCACGATCGACAGTGCCTTTCAAGTATCGTAGAATCCGTTTGACAGCGGCCCAATGATTATCCGTCGGAGAGTGCTGAAATTGAGAAACATGATTCACCGCAAATGCAACGTCGGGGCGAGTAAAACTGAGATACTGCAGACCGCCGACTATACTGCGATACATAGCTGGATCTGTGAACAGAGGAGAAGATGACATGGCGGACTGCTGAACAATCTCATTTGTGCAGGGTGTGGAGATTGCATTTGCCTCGGACATATGAGCACGTTCAAGTAAATCCTGTATGAATTTGCGCTGCCGAAGAAGAATACCAGTGGGCGTGCGACACACTTCAATGCCAAGAAAATAGGACAGAGGGCCCAACTCACGAAGAGCAAAGTTGTTGCGGAGAAATGTGAACAGCCGTTGTATGAAAGATGAATCATTACCCGTGATGACTATGTCATCGACATAGACGAGCATATAAACCCGGGTTGGACCAGTCTTATAGATGAACAAAGACGGATCAGTTCTGGAAACAGAGAATCCAAAGCGGGTAAGTGCTGCAGCAAGACAGGCAAACCATGTACGGGGCGCTTGACGGAGACCATAAATTGATTTTCGTAGACGACATACATAATCGGGCTTGTCGGGATCGACAAAGCCTGCTGGCTGCTGCATATAGACTGTTTCCTGGAGGTGACCATGAAGGAAGGCATTTGCGATATCGATTTGATGAAGAGGCCAGCCTTGAGTTACCGCCAGACCGAGAATTAGGCGAAGCGTTGCAGGCTTGAGCACAGGGCTGTATGTTTGTTGAAAATCCAGGCCCGGAATCTGCTCATAACCACGAGCAACCAAGCGAGCACGACGGCGATCCAACGAACCAGTTGGGTGAAGTTTGGTGCGGTAGACCCATTTATTGGAGAGGATATTGCAGTTGGGTGGCGGGGGAACCAAGTCCCAGGTGTGGTTGCGTTGCTGCGCATCGAATTCCTCTTGCATAGCCGAGCGCCAGAGTGGGTTCTTGAGAGCCTGTTTGACAGAGGTGGGAGTGTCATCGATGTGGAGGGTAGAGAGAAAGGTCTTGGGTTTTAGGTTTCCTGTTTTGATTCGGGTTACCATGGGATGATTTGAGCTCGTGGGGTGGGTAACAGTGAGCAGTCTGGGAGAGGTGGAAAAAGGTGGGCGATCTGAGATTGGGCGGCGAGGGGGCAGGGGTGTAGGTGTCCGACGAGAGGGAGGGTTGGAGGACGAGGGAGATGGGAGGATGATAGATGGGGAGGGCGGGTCAATTTGTGCTTGATGGAGCGATTGGGGTGGGGAGGAAGAATTGGGTAGTGAGGCAGAAGGCGATTGCTGGATAGCTGCAGAGGGGGAAGAGGGGATAGCCGGTTCAGGACGTTGAGGGTGGGCGGAGGCAGAACGACGGCGCGTGTATTGATTATTGAAGAAGAGGGCGAGTTGGGGGGGGAGAGGTCTCTGTAGCGGGCTGGGTGGGCGTGGGATGTGGCTGGGGGAGGGTTGGAGGAGAGGGATTATTGGGCTTGGGATGTGGCTGTGGGAGGGTTGTAGGAGAGGAATTATTTGGGCTGGGAATGGTAGCTATAATGGGCTCGGAGATGGCAGGGGGTGATGGGCCAGGAATGGATGCAGGTGGAGAAGGAAGCAAAATGGACGGGGAGGTAGAATTAGTGGGTAAGGATGGAGAGGGGAAAGGCAACTCAGCAAACGGAAAACGAGCTTCATCAAATAAAACATGGCGACTAACATAGATCCGACCAGTGGGAATGTGAAGGCAACGATAACCCTTATGGAGTTTGCTATACCCAAGAAAAACGCACGGAACAGAGCGAGGAGCCAATTTGTTGTGTTCGAATCCCCAAGACCCCCATTTGTTTAGCACATGGTATTCTTGTCTTCAGACATGTGCAAACTTCAAGCCCTTGTGAGTGGCTTTCGTTTGAGGGGGCGTGTTAGTGTGTGGTATATGATCCACGATTGAACCTCTCCCAACAACTCGAGTTATTGGGAGCAACTGGTTCTTGACATATGCTTGCATGCTCGATCTTCTAGCAAGAGCAGGGAAGCTCAACAAAGCGGTTGAGCTGATTAACGAGATGGGATTCGAACCTGATGGAGCGATGTGGAGAACTTTGCTTGATGGTTGCAGGGCTCACAAGAATGTGGATCTAGCGATGCATGCTGCTGAGCAAATTCTGAAGCTGAACCCACAAGATGCGGGAAGCTACATACTCCTGTCGAACATCTATGCAAACGCTGGAAGGTGGGATGATGTGGCAGGAATTCGGAAGGTGATGAATGAGAAAGGGATCAAGAAACAACCTGGATGCAGCTGGATTGAAGTGGGTAAACAGATTCATACTTTCGTTCTTGGAGATGGGTCCCATCCGCAGATCAATGAGATTAAGATCCAGCTGGAGTCACTGATTCAACGACTCGTGAGAGCTGGTTATGTCCCTGACTTGAACTTTGTCCTGAAGGATTTGGAAGGAGAGGAACAAAGGGAAGATTCTCTGAGGTACCACAGCGAAAAGCTGGCGGTGGTGTTTGGTTTAATGAATTTGCCCAAGGGACAAACTATCCGGATCAGGAAGAACCTCAGGATATGCGGTGACTGTCACCTATTTGTGAAACTTGCGACCAAGTTGGAGAAGAGGACGATTGTGATTAGAGATCCCATACGGTACCATCATTTCCATGATGGAGCTTGCTCTTGTGGGGATTACTGGTAACGAAGTCTTGGGACAGATAAGGCAAAGGAACCAGTAAATTTCAGGTTCTTCGTTGATGTAGACTATTCAGCTGAATTGCCCTTATACGTAACCAGTTATGTCAGTGTTGTTTGTTCTCATTTCTCAGTACTTGCTTGCGTTGGTTCATGTGGGGTATTGAAAAAAAGCTGTGTATATGTCCAGGGAATCGTTGGGGTTGTTAAGAGGCTGATGCAGGGTCATAGTTAGTTGCAATGAGACATACAGAAACATGTATTTATGATCATCTGTATATTCATTCTGTGATAACAGGAAAGAAGAAGGTTTAACATAAGCCAAGTTTCATTCATCGAAGGATCTGTGGTTGTCCATGTTCTCTTTAGATGTCTCTCTCAAACTGCATATATGGACTGCAATGCCCCTTCATTTTTTCCACCGATCGAATAGCCTGTCGTTGGAGAGTCAAAGAAGAGCTAAAGCAACTCGCTGACGATTGTAAGTCTTTTCCATTGTTGTGTTCGATCTCAAAACTATAATTAGCAAGACTGAACTGATTGATCAGCGGAACTGACAGATTACTTTCGACTCCCACTTTTTTTTTAAAGCTGAATCAAGGACACCCTTTCAAACCCAGAGCTAGACAGATATAGAGCTTCATGATTTTCCATCCTCAATTTCGGTATGTTCCACACGGTTCTCAACTTTGCAGTCCTATCTTACAATAATTGGAATTTCGCAGTTTTGCAAGCCCCTTTCCATTGACCCATATATATAGAGTTCCTGTTGTGTCATTTCCCTGATCAACTCATGCTAAGCTGATTTGGTCCTTTGATTCTAGATATTAGTTAGTGCATATTAAAGGGTGAGTATGCCCGTGGGTTGCATAACTACAGAGTTCTTGATTGAAGTTTTGCAATGACCAAAGGCAGAAGCACATTGTTGAATCAGAACCCTTGACATGATCAGTATAGCTTTCAGCTTATGCCCTTATTTCGGGTTATTTGTCGTACTTTGGAAATAGAACATTAAGTGTTGTCATCTTCCTCGATAATAACTGCAGAAAAAAAAAAAGGTCCTCCGACTATCCAAGGCAATCACCTGCATCCCTTCTGATTGTCGGTTTTGATATGAAAGAGAACAGAAGAAAAAACAAAGAAACCAGCTAATGGGTAGCCGGGTGAATGCATCACAGTGGAGCTTTACAGAGTGAGTTTCGCTCTGAATCCTGGAGAATCCCCAGATGCAGCAAAGAAGAAAAGGAAGCTTGAAGGAGTTCAAGAGATGAACTTGAAGCAGCCCAAATTAGATATGTAGGTGAAATTACGGGATTATCAAGCAGTCTACAGATTGAAGCACCGGTCTGAGGTATTTTCAATTTGATTTTTGTGCTTTAAAAGGGAGTTTTTCCTTCCACTTTACCTCTGTTATCTTTACTTTATTTACCTGTTGGTTTCATAAGCCCCTCTTGATGTTATTGGGGTTGTATGCTATCTTTGCTACATTTGCCTGTTGGTTTCAGAAGCCCCTCTTGATGTTAGTGGGTTGTATGCTATCTTTTGGTTTTAAAGGGTCGCCAGTTCCAAGATTATACAACTTCAGTAGAGACTGATAGCCTTATGGTAGTATCTTTGATACAAGTAGCTAATACTCTTCCTTTTCATAGGATCAGTTACCACCCAACTGTTATATAACTTTGGTGGTTATATGTTCAAGATATATATATAGTTTAGATATCTCTTTTTTCCTGAATGACCATAGTGTTAGGAAGAACCTGCTGTATTTGTTTAAAAATCTCTGTACTTTATTATGCTGCTCCTATTGAATTTCAATGATCTATTGTTCCTGTGCTAAGCTCCAGAGAGGACACCTGCTTTGTGTATCAGTTCATTACTGCATATCAGATGAGCCACCATTTGCTTGCGACACCAGAATTCACTCAACGCGGTTGTATTTAACAAGATACGAAGGGATACTCATCACAAATTGAGATTGTAAGCTAAGAGGAAGGGATATATTCACAATGCCAAGTTCAACTAGCAGAAGGTAAAAGCTATTCCTGTTTGTTATTCTTCTTCTACTCCAACTTATTTATTAAAATGAAAAAGTGGTCAATGTTACAACAACGGCATAAAAACAACCTACAGCTCATCTTTGTGGTCCTTGGAGGCACTGGTGTGCTCGGAAGATGTGAAAGCTCTAATTATCGATTCGTACACCTCAATGCCTTTCAGATACTCAGCTTTGCTCAAGAACTGCATCAAGTTAACAATGCCACGTTACAAATGCTGGGGAAACATAAAGCAATAGCAGTGCTGGTTGGTAATGTTCAACAAGTCTCGAATAGCTTCAAAGACTCTATAATCTAAGAGTATGCATCACAACCAAAAACCTCAAATCAAGCATGGTTCTCCTATCGGCAAAGACAATGGTCATGACAGCAGAGAAACAATCTCAATGGACTTCCTAGTGGATGGACTGAAGCAAACTTACTCACTCATGGACCAGGAAATCAATGAAAGAGCTGGCAGCTAGAAACAGTACCTCATTGTGATCATGCAAAAGAACAGGTGTATTGGCCATTGGGGAGAAGCCGATGGCTGGCAGACCCCGTTCTCGGAAGTAGCGAGAGTCTGTTGCTGCAGGAAAGATTTCTGGCTTACCAAGCTTTCCGTCGGCTTTCGCTACAGCTTCCTCGAGCAGTATCCACCACGGATTTGAGCTCCCTGTTTTTGTAAGCATGGGCTTCCCTTCCTTGTCATACACGGAAGCCTTTTGCTTGAACTGTCCAAGCTAAAAGAAATCAGAGAATAACACAAACAGAAAGCATGCAACCAAATACTATGATACACTTATCATTGTTCTCTTCTCCTGACTTTGTTAGCTATCAGCCTATCACCATTCATTGGAGCTAATAAGGAGAGCATCATCACCTGGAATGTCATGTTGCGTGAAACAGGCGCCCACTCTTCGTTGATCCGCCTCTCCAACGATTCAGGATCAGCAGTTGGCGGGATACGAATATCGAAACCTGCTTCTGCTTCAGATGGTTGCAGGTTCATGACAAAACCCTGGGGAAGACAAGACAGTAGAACAGCGGATGGTTGAAGAAAGACATTTGCAGAAACATCTGATACAAGCATTGTGAAAGCAAGGAAAGGAGAGTTACAGTTGGAGAAGGAGTGCCAGCTTTAAGGAAGGCCATGTTAACAGAAATGACCTCCCCTTCAGCTCTCAATCCAGCTTTCACCAAATCAAATTGAGATGCCCTAAACCTCCTGATTGACTCGATGCTCTTGAACAGATTCTCCACGGCGCTGTTGTCATAAAGCTTAGCTCCATGGCCTGGAGCTCCCATGGCCTTAATCACCAGCCACCAGGGGCTCCTTTCAGCGTAGAACGGTCTGTAGCTTTCACCGGGCGAAGCCAGCCCTGATTTTCTCTTCTCCGATCAGCATAACGAAAAAACCAAGACTCCGCCCTATCAATCGGTAAGTAAGTAAGTAAGTTAGTTTACCTTCGTCGAGGACGATGCCGACGTTCAAGGCGTCGAAGACATCGGAATAGGCGAACTTTTCGGCGCCATCGTGGCCGCCGATTTCTTCATCGGGGGAGAAGGCGAGGTAGACGGATCGGCGGGGTCGGAATCCAGAGGCCTTGAGGCGGCGGACGGCCTCGAGGTACTGCATCCCGACGCACTTCATGTCCTGGGAGCCTCTGGCGAAGATGCGGCCGGAGGAGGGATCGAGGTGGGCGGAGAAAGGAGGGTGGTCCCACTTGTGGGGTTCGGCGGGGACGACGTCGGTGTGGGAGTAGAGGAGGATGGAAGGGAGGTCGGGGTCGGATCCGGGCCAGTGGATGAGGACCAAGGGTTTGCCATGGACGAATTCGATGGAGCGGGATGGGAGGGAGATGGAATCGGCTTGAGAGATGAGGAACTCGGCGGCGAGGTGGTAGTCGGGAGTGGGCTGGGCGGTGTTGATCTGGAGGTATTGCTGGAATCGGGAGATGACTTGGGAGGGTGAGGAGGAGTCTCCGGCCGCCACCGACGGCGGTGGAATTGTGAACAAGAGGAGGAAGCAGCAGAAGCAGAGTAGAGTGTGACTAGTAAGCTTGATTGGCGTCGCCATGGTGTGGCGGCGAGAGTGGCAAATCCGTAAAGATTGGTTAGAAAGGTTATGGGCTAAAGGGTAAGCTAAGGCCAGCTTAGCCCCAACTAAAAAAATATATAAACATGTAGCCAACTTATCGAATTTTCTAATCTTCAATACTTGTGTTATGTAAATTCTATATGAGCTTTGTTTTCCACAATTTAATAATTCAAAATTATTATGTTTTCCCTCGATCTATGATTATCAACGGATAATCTAAGTCTCCACTATTAATGTTTGATCTTGTCGTGACTTACTAGACCCATTAGCAACTAAACATACCTTACGTTCATTAATGATGTTCTCACTCATTGAGAACTACATCACGTACTATGGCGATTCATAATTATACCACCATCATATCAAGTTAGTTATTGAGGTGATACAAAATATATACTATGTTAGTATAATTGTATAGCAGTGTTGTACATGGATGTGATACGCGATCGTGCCCATGTTTCCCTGATGAAAAAAATGAATTATTTAAAATCAAAACGAACATCATATCCCAAGAATCTATTTGTTTTTGTGCAAATTCAAATGAAAAAAATGTATAAACCAATCAAAGATAATAGGGGACTTGAAGAAAGAGTACCATGTGGCATGATTTGGTTGAATAGATAGAAGAAAGGAATAATTAAATAAATAAATTATCTCTTTACATCTCTAAAATATTTATATATTTAATAGTACGTCATTAGTAAAATATATATATATATATAATTAATTATTTTCAAAATAATAAATGTCTATATGTTCTGTTTAGGTTATTAAGTACATGTGTTGTATGATTTGTATATATTTTTAGCATAGTTAGTAAAATATGATAAGCTATAAAATAAATACGAGTATTTTACTTTATTTCTAAGCTAATATTATGTTTAATAGTATGATAATATTCATATATATACAAAATTATTTATTTTAAAAATAAATTAAAATATTAATAATAGTAAATTTAGCAATTTAATTCATTAGATAAGGATATTAAACATGTTATATGGTTTTTGTACGTGTTTAGTACGGGAACCATCATATGAACGAAAAAAATTAAAATGGCTTGACAATAATACGAGCACGAAAGGTTTAAACATATAATATACGTATGGATACTTATATGTGTATTAAATGGAGTATTTACTAACTATGATTTTTAGTACGAGGCCATATATAGGGGAAGATGAAAGAATTTGACAACGTTATATAGACATATATATATATATATTAAAAGCACAAAACATATACACGTATTACATCAAAGGATTTGCTATCTTTTCCACTTTTAGAAATTAAAACATCCACCTCATCATTAGCTCTTATTTTATCAGCAAAAAAATAAAATAATAATAACAAAACGTATTATATCATATGCACCCTTCATTACTCTAAGTTTGGTGCAAAAAGATAATCCGAAAAGCAAAAGACCAATTTATCAAAAAGATAAAGAAAAGAAAAAGACCAGATCAATATGGAAAATTTAAAAAACAGTGTATCAATATAATGTTTGTTGACAATCCTTTTCAATGGTAACCGGTCTTTCACTAAAATCACTCTTGTTGTTCTACTGTTGCCCTTTATATCATCATTGTTATTACTCTCCAGTAACAGATCGGTGGCCATCAAAACATTTTCCTCCACTGCTACAAGTAGGAAGCTCTCCTCACGATCTCGCTCCCAATGAGTGACCAGCCTAAACCCCATCACCTCTTCTACCTCATGGTCATGGTATCGATCATTTACAGATGTGGCTTTTTTTGCCAACACCAACGCCTCTACACTCAAACTATCCCATCGTTGGAGTTGTTCTGGAAGCAAAGGTTTAGTTGCCGCCAACAACATTCTGGTCTCATTTTCGTCGATGCTGAAAATCAACATATCACTCATTTCAAATAAACAAAAGAATCTACCGTCTTTGTAGCCCACGCCAAGACATGTTTGTCCTTTTTTCCCACCCAAGGAGAAATCGTATGTTTTTTGCACAAATCCATCATAGTTTCCACGACGAAACATGCAGAGATAGCGGTCGCCATACACCACGAAGATCGTCGAGTCCTGCGCAGTGGGCAGCGCTGAGAAAGCAAATTTGAGTACTGTGTCAGGTTTGTAATGGTCGTCGTAGGTAGAAAAACACCTACTCGGATTGGGAAGCCTGATGTAGTTTGCAGGACTTCGGAGTAGAGGATTGTACCAGCCCAAAGAAGCATCACACACTTTTATAAAATACCACGCACCCGCCATCCCGAGGATTGTTATGTCTTTACCTGTAAGCTCATATGGGATTTGAGATTCACGACGTCGTTTGAGGACAAGTCGTTTCCCCTCCCGCACTTGGATGACGTCCGAGCTGGACAATTTCGCATGGCTGATCAACACGGGCCGAGGATTGGAAAGGGCGATGTGAGAGTGAACTTGGTGCCAGTTCTTGCATACGTCGCCGAAGTGAGTACCGTCGATGTGAGATGAGAGTCTGTTATAGATGGAATCCAAGAGATATGGGCATATATCAGCCCATGGTCGTTGATCATCTTCCATGTTCATAATTTTATCAACTTTACTTTCAGGATTTCTGGTTTTCAAATATTATAGATTCTTTTGCGTGGTTTCGATGAAATTTTCATTTTTGTACATGATTCGAGTTTGAGCCTTCATTTTAAAAGGTTGTATGGTGTATGGTGGATTTATAATCAAGGAGATTTGTTAGTTCTACAAATATGCACACAAAAGGTGGAACTACAATATTATTATTGAGTTGTTGGTTATAATGTGACGGGAAGAAAGGAAAGTGCATGTTTTAACGGCTCATGAAGTGGTCAATATTATTATTTATTCTTACTAACCTAGGAAATGAATCATCATATTCAAAAACAATTTTTTTTGCAAGATTTTATATTAGATAGATTTTTTTTGGAGGTTGGATACAAAAAATTTAATCTCTCCAAACGAGAATGAAATCTTGTTTTTGCTCAATAATTTTGTGGCGGCTGCTTTCATTATTCGTTGGCCTTGCATCATAAATTATATTCCTACTATTGATGGATTAATATCACAATATACAATCTTAATCTTCTAAGTTATCTTATTCTCGAGCAGTCTAATTTATCTTATTCGATGTGGAGAAGAATGGGGTCCTACTCGGAAAAATAAAAAGATTATATATGTGTAGATACTTGTTCAAAACGGGAAAATAAAAGGAATATATATGCTATAACTAGGCATACCTTTTAACCCTACACATTCATTTTATTAAAATAAAAAATTGGTCATTAAATGCATTTTATAAAATGATGGTATGTGTTAGTTTATTTACTTGTGAAGTTAATGCATATCTACTTAGATATCAGAAGGTCACTTCACCCCCTGTCGCGCCCTCCGTCCCTCATTCCTCTGCCTCCCATCACCACCGCCACGAGGTGTCCGTCGCAAGATCACAATCTCCTCTTTTCATCATCCTTTTTTTTTTTCTCCAGATATGTGATTTTCGAATTACATATTGTTTTTTTTTGTTAGTCTCTAGTGGTAGTGAAAGTAATTAATTAAATTTTTTTTTACTATCCAAGTTGCCCTTGGTTGTGAAACTCACGACCCCTTGGGGGAAGTGATGGTGTCTCACCTCGTGGAGGAGGGCATTTTTACAAACCCTTTTATATATTTATAGATAGATAGATATAAATAGATAGGTAGATAAATAGATAGAAGATATAGATTGATATATATATATATATATATATATATATATATATATATATATATATATATATATATATATATATATATATATATAAATAGATAGATAATAATAAGTAATAATAATAACACAGATTATATCATGTGTACCCTCCATTACTTTAAGTTCTAAACAAAGAGATTATCCAAACAAAAAAAGACAAGACAAGTATGTGAAAAAGAACAAATAGTATGTAACTGTAATATATGTCGAAAGTCCTCTTCAATGACAACCGATCTTTCACTAAAATCACTCCTGTTGTTCTACTGTTGCCATACGTCATCACCGTCCTTATTCTCCAGTAACAGATCGGCGACCATCATAACATTTTCCTCCACTGCTACAAGCCGAAAGCTCCCCTCACAATCTCGCTTCCAATGAGTGACCAGCCTAAACACTAACACCTCTTCTACCTCCTGGTATTGATCATCTGCATTCGTGACTTTTATTGCCACCACCACCCCCACTACACGCAAATTGTCCCATCGATGGAGTTGTTCGGGAAGCAGAGGCTTAGTCGCCGCCAGCAACATCCTGGTCTCATTATTGTTGATGCTGAAAATCAACATATCCCCCATTTCAAATAAACATAAGAATCTACCGTCTTTATAGCCCACACCAAGACATATTTGTCCTTTTTTCCCACCCAAGGAGAAATCGTATGTTTTTTGCTCAAATTCGCCATTGTTTTCACGAAGAAATATGCAGAGGTAGCGGTCACCATGCACCACGAGGACCGCTGAGTCCTGAGCAGTGGGTAGCGCCGAGAAAGCAAATTTGAGTATTGTGTCAGGTCTGTAATGGTTGTCCTAGGAAGAAAAACGCCAACTCGGGTTCGGAAGACGTATGTAGTTTGCAGGACTTCGGAGTAGAGGATTGTACCAGTCCAAAAAAGCATCATGCACTTTTATAAAAAAAACCACGCACCTGCCATCCCGAGGATTGTTATGTCTTTACCTGCAAGCTCATATGGAATTTGAGATTTACGACGTTGTTGGAGGACAAGCCGATTACCCTCTCGCACTTGGATGACATTAGAGCTGGACAATTTTGCAGGGCTGATCAACACAGGTCAGGGATTGGAAAGGGTGATGTGAGAGTGAACTTGGTGTCAGTTCTTACATACGTCGCCGAAGTGAGTACCGTCGACATGAGACGAGAGTCTGTTGTAGATGGAATCCAAGAGATATGGACATATATTATCCCATGGTCGTTGATCTTCTTCCATGTTCATAATTCTATCAACTTTACTTTCAAGATTTACTTGTTTTCAAATATTATAGATTTGTTTTTGTGGTTTCGATGAACTTTTTATTTTTGTACATGATTCGAGTTTGAACCTTCAATTTAGAAAGTTGTATTTTGTATGGTGGATTTACAATTAAGGAGACCTATTAGTTCTACAAATGTGCACACAAAAGGTGAAACTGCATTATTATTATTGAATTGTTGGTTATAATGTGACGGGAAAAAGGAAAGTGGTTGCTTTAACGGCTCATGAAGTGGTTAATATTATCATTTATTTTTACTAACCTAGTGGATGAATCATCATATTCAAAAATAATTCCTTTTTTTTTTCAAGAGTTTATATTAGATAGATATTTTTTGGAGGTTTGTATACAAAAAAATTAAAGTACCGATTATATTTTCTCCAAACGATAATGAAGTTTTCTTTTTGCTCTATAATTTGTGGCTGCCACTTTCATTATTCGTTGGCCTTCATCATAAATTCTATTCCTACTATTGATGGATTAATATCACAATATACAATCTGAATCTTCCAAGTTATCTTATTCGATGTGAAGAACAATGAGGTCCTACTTGGATAAATAAAATGATTATATATGTGTAGATACTTGTTCAATATGAAAAAGGGTTAATAGCATTTTCTACCCCTCTACTATGATAAATTAACAAACGTACTCCTCTACTAAATTTTTGTACAAACATACCCTTCTAATATTAAATCGTAACAAGTTTACCCTTCCATCTAATTTTTCGTTAAGTGACCGTTAACTGAGCTGGAAAATGACCCAATTGTCCTCATTTACTCGTAATTTTAGTTTTAATTATTTTATTATTTATGTCTAATAATTAGAAAACAAAACCCTAAACTAATTCAGAAGCACTCCGGAGACCGTTCATCTCCCGGCAGTCTCCCCTGCCGATCAGTCTTCGACTCGACGGCGCCGTCTGCTCCCGCATCTCCTCGCCGTCCTTCTTCTACTTGTTCCAGAACCACAAGGCCCACAACATCCAGAAGCGCCGCCGCATCGTGGACACAACGACGTCCTGCTTTCCTCATCATCTCCAGCTTGCACCCTCATCCGCCGCGACGTTCCCTTTTCCTCCTCCGCTAGATGTATGTCTTTGATATCATGTAATGAATTACTTAATCTCAATAATCTTGAGTTGTATTTTGCTTTTGAGTTGTTACTAAAGATGGGTTCATTTATTTTGATGCAAATTTTTGAGAGATGAGCCATAACAAGCAGCTCCAATATAAAGCGGAGCCAGCAGCACCAAAAGCTTAAAGAGTGTCAGAAAAATTCCCATTAATTTCCTTCAACGAGGCGGTTGATCATCATCATCACTCATCAGTACTACTACGTTGCCCGTAATGAAGCAGCTGCAGGAAGGAGATGCGGGAGCAGGCCCCGCCGTCGAGTTGCAGGACTGATCGCTGGGGGAGAGTTCAGCTAGACGGCCGGTCTCTGGAGTGCTTCTGAATTAGTTTAGGGTTTTATTTTTCTAATTAATTATTGAACATAAATAATAAAATAATTAAAACTGAAATTAGGTGTAAATGAGGGGTAATTGGGTCATTTCACAGCTCATTTAACGGTCACTTAACGGAAAATTAGATGGAAGGGTAAACTTGTTACGATTTAATATTAGAAGGGTATGTTTATACAAAAATTTAGTAGAGGGGTACGTTTGTTAATTTATCATAGTAGAGGGGTACAAAATGCTATTAACCCTATGAAAAAAATAGAAGGAATATATATATGATATAACTAGGCATACATTTTAACCCTACACATTCATTTTATTGAAATAACAAATTGGTCATCAAATGCATTTTATAGTATGATGGTATGTGTTAGTTTATATACTTGTAAAGTTACTGTGTATTCTACCTAGATATCGGAAGGTCACGTTTCAACTATAGGATACATACAAAGTTACATAGCTGAATAATTTATCCAAGCTAACAAGGTATAGATATTATGAAAACATTAAGTCAATTGATTTTATTCGCAATTTATATGATAACAATGGCAATCTCCAATGATATCATTCAGTTTTGATCATATTTCACATGTATATTAGTAGTTGAATATATTTATTATAATTTATTTTAACAACGATATCACACAAATATGTTACCGATTGAACCACTAAAATGTCATACCGCTAACATGTTTGGTACCACCTACCGTACAGTATTACAATTACAAATCATGGTCTAAAGCAAAGATCAGCGGAATTTCTGCACTACTAAACACTGCTGCTCCCTGCAGCAATCGACAAGAAAGCCAAAAGGGTCTCTACTTTAGTATATTACGAAATACAAACAACACAACAAGCCACGCTAGCTAGTAGTATACACGAAAAATGGACTCTCAAGCTCCTTTGTGCACCACCAAGTTCACGACTGCATCGTTCAGTGTCGATGGGAATGCTTTTTCCGTCGGCCAAGACGAGACTCTCCATTATCCTTGTTCCTTAGCTGCGACATCTTCAGAGCGAATGCCAAGAACCCTATGGATGCAATCGGGTAGAAGACTTTGTAGGGGGCCGACCCTAGCCCCGCCATATACGAATAGATGCCGGCGAGGAGATACACGAAATCCAATCGAAGTTCCTTCCATATCATCCTGGGGAAGGAGAACAAGGAGCTGAACTCTGGATTCGAGCATAATACGCCGTGGAGAATGACGCCGATGCATAATGTCGAATCAAGGAACCACGGGAAGCTATGGCCCATGCCTATTCTCTGCAACAACCACACCACATCGACAATTAAAAATTACTTCATGCTACCAATCATACAGTGGTCAACTGCTACATTCAATTTGCATAATTGATCGCCAAACTAAGGGTCACCAAGAAATCAGTAACTGAACTTTGAATTTTATCAGTTTTGTTACTGAAGTTTGGAATAAGTATATACATAATAGTTACTCCATCCATCTCCATCAAATTCCCAGTCTGTTCCAAGATTAGTGCACCTACTCCGGAAGAATTAAAAAGGCCACATAAACCAGAACAGCTTCGCTAAAGAGACTCGTTTTTGGCTCTTACCCGATCTAAACCAAACCGATTGTTCGAGATCCTATTCTAGCATCACATTTCCTAATTAATATCACCCTAATCCATTCCTCCCCTACCTGATAGCTAATTAGAGGATAAATTTTATGTGTTCCCGTTAATAATTTGGTTTACTTGACATACTAATCTGGACATATAATTTGGACCAAGAACTTGACAGGAATGGACAAAAGCTGACTATCTTGTTAGTTACTCCAAATTGTAGTGCCCAATTTGGTAATGATCCCAAAGTTAGTGACTGCCTTATTAACCCCCCATAGTTTTTTTTTTTTGTCATAGATAGGGAATGTTATAGATATTACAGGACACTGGATAACCACACGCGACAGTCGACAAATAGTCGAACTGTCGATGAAAGGGCACTAGTAGCCACTAAATGGGCGGCCCTGTTGTACAACCTCGGGGTAAAATTACAATCAAAGAAAGAAAATAAAGACACAGCCAAGCAGACCTCCTCCAAGATCGCCCCCCCTGTTCCATGAGCCACATCCTTCATCCGAATCCTGTGAATCAAAGGTAGACAATCTCCACAGAAATTGACCGAAACAAAACCATGCATGACACACCAATTCATCGCATCTCGAAGAGCTAACAATTCCGCTATAAACGGTTCAGACACACCTGGAAAGAATCGGCCGAATGCGAATAGAAGTTCCCCACTGCTAGAGAATCCGGCGAAACCTATTCCACCCCCAACCTCCTTCTTCCAAGCTCCATCAAACCGGACAAGAACCCCATTGGGGGGGGGGGGGGGGGGGCACGTCCCGGTCACCGTCAGGCGGTCCGGTCCCGATTCCTGACCCTGCCGTGAGCTAGGCAGCCCACTCCCTGACCTGTGCAAGATCAACGGAGAAGACGCATGCTGCCACTCCTCCACCTGTGCACGAAATTGCCGAAACAAGGGGCCTCCCAAGTATTGAATGTGTTTGTGAATTGCCCAACAACGCGATTTCCACACTCGCCAGCAAAGGAACACAACATCAGCAATCTCAGACTTGGATAAATGGCATGCAAAAAACAATTCATTCCAACAATTAGCAGGGGACAAACCTTCTAGTCTACTTCTTAAGTTGCTTAAACCAGCAAGACTCCATAACTCAACAGCCACCCGACAGGTTAGAAAGGAATGGGAAATAGTCTCGACCCCATCCGCACAAACCGGGCATGTAGAATCTGTGACCAGCCTTTTGATTTGAAGAACCGCTCGCACTGGAAGGAAGCCCCGAACCACTCTCCACCAAAAGCATTTCAGTTTAGGCGGGAGAGGAAGACTCCACAGCAGCTTCCAAAACCTGCACTCATAAGGCAAAACGGCGGGCGGATGAGCAGCCAGCAGCTCATCCGTGAGCAAATGATACCCGGTTTTGACAGTGTACTCTCCTGTTGGAGAATAGTGCCATATGAGTTTGTCCGGAGAAACCTGCATAGGTAAAGGAATAGACAGAATTAAGTTAACCGATGCTGGCACAAACAGACTCGCTAACAACTCAACATTCCAGGATCAGGATAGCGGACAAATGAGCGCCGAGACAAAAACTGGACAAGTAGTAATGTGGGGCAGCAACACTGGTACAGATGGAGGACTAGAAGGCAGCCAGTTGTCCGCTAGAACTTGCACCGTGGAACCATCCCCGATCCGCCAACGTAGGCCGCGCACCAGAAGATCTCTCCCGGCAAGAATGCCTTGCCAAGCCCAGGAAGGCCTTGACCCCGCTGCTGCCTCCAAGAACGATGAATGAGGATGGTACCTCGCACGATAAATAGACGCCAGTGTGGACTCCGGGTTCATTAGGACTCGCCAGGCTTGCTTCGCCAAGAGGGCAATGTTGAAACGTTCAAAGTCACGAAAGCCCAATCCACCTGCAAATTTACTGAGACATACTTCTTGCCATGACAGCCAATGCATCCCATCTTCTTTATCTTGATCAGCCCACCAAAACCTCGACAATTGACCATTCAACCTGCGACATGTGTCAGAAGGTAATCTAAAAGCAGACATTGCGTAAATACATGATGCCGACCCAATGGACTTGATCACCGTTTCCTTCGCTGCCAATGACATTGCCTTGGCCTTCCACGATCTGATCCTTGCTGCCAGTCCCTCCTTTACGAATCTAAACGTCTGGGTCTTGGATCGTTGGATATGAATAGGCAATCCCAAATATTTGTCTACCGTACCTGAATCTGCCATCCCCAGAAAGGAGCTCAAGGCTAGTCGCTCCTGGTTAGAAACATTGGAACTAACACAAATAGAGGATTTAGAAAAATTAACTCTTTGACCGCTCACCCTCTCTAACTCATCCAGCAAAGACAGTAAGCTAGCACATTCCGGTAAGGAAGCTCTCAAAAACAGGTATGTATCATCAGCAGACAATAAATGCGAAGTCAAAGGGGCATGCCGATGAATCCGTAAACCATGCAAATTCGCAGCCATAATCTCACTAGATACCTTAGCCGAAAAGGCCTACGAATAAATAGCATAAAGAAGAGGCGAAAGTGGATCACCTTGACGCAATCCCCGCTGGGGTTTAAAATACCCATGAGCATGCCCATTGATCAGTACTGAGAAGGAAACCGTAGAAATACATGCAGAAATCCAGCGCCTCCATTCAAAGCAGAAGCCCATTTGTTCCAAAATCAGTAACAGGAATGACCATTCCACCCGGTCATAAGCTTTCTCCATATCAAGTTTAAGTGCCATCCACTTATCTCGACCCTGCACTTTAGTTTTTAAAAACTGCATAACTTCTTGACCAATCAGAATATTATCAGTAATCAGTCTACCCCGGACAAATCCATTTTGATTAGAACTCACAACATCAGGCAAGATCAAACTAAGTCTAGCAGCCATAATCTTAGCAATGATTTTATAGAATACCTGGCACAAACCTATAGTTCGGATTTGGCGCATTGACTCGACATTCAAGACCTTCGGTAGTAATTAAATGAGAGTATGATTGAAGCTGTGCAGGAGCCGGCCCGTGGTAAAACTGAGCACTGCCTCCGTGATTAACGTCCCCACCACCTCCCAGTGCACTTGAAAAAATGCAGCCGTGAATCCATCGGACCCAGGTGCCTGATGACTACCGATCCTGAACACTGCCTCTTTGACGTCCAGCGCCGAAACAGGAGCAATCAGCGCAGCATTCATCTCGCTCGTGACCCTGCTAGAGATACCCAAGGAGTCCACATAGGCCGAAGCATCTATATTGTTAGATGTGAAAATATCTTGATAAAATGGAATGGCTATACCTGCCATGGCATCTTCGTCATGTTGTAGAACGCCGGCCTCGTCCCGTAACCCTCGCAAGCGATTAAAGCGTCAGCGTTGGACTACCGAGCGGTGGAATAAATTAGTGTTGGCATCCCCCTCCCGAAGCCAACCCACCCTCGATTTTTGCCGCCAAAAGCACTCCTCCTCGACGTAAGCTGTCGACAAATCACGTTCTAGCTGCCGAATGCCATCCCAATCAACCATTTCAACCTCACGCAGATCTTCGATGGCCAACTTAAGTTCCCTGATCCGTCGGGCCGAGTTAGAAGTCCCCAAGCGTGCCCACTCTACCAGATCATGGCGGACTGTCTTGAGCTGATTAAAAGCTCAAAACTGAGCAGTACCACGCATTGGTTTTGCCCAGGCGAGCTCCACAACCGCCTGCGCCTCCGGGTTTGAATTCCATCTCCCATCAAAGTGGAATCTGGTATGCCGATGGTGTCCCTGTTGAATGAGCTGCACAAGGAGCATACGATGATCAGATCCTAAGTCAGTAAGATGGATTACCTTCAAATCAGACCACTCCGTCAAAGTCGAAGGGCTGCCCAGGCACCGATCCAATCGCTCAAGAATGTGCTCCCCTCCTGCCCTTCGGTTCGACCAAGTGAACGGCGATCCCTGGAAACCTAAATCCATCAAACCAGTAGATAAAATAAAACCATTCAGTTGATCTAAAGCAGCAAAAGATGGCGCATTCCCCCCTCCCCCCCCCCCCCCCCCCCCCCCCCCCCCCGCCGCTTTTCACCAGAAGACAACAAACAGTTAAAGTCCCCAACCACAAAGGAAGGAAGAGACACGCCCGAAAGTAAATGTGCAATTTCATTCAATTGACCCTGCCGAACAGCAGCTTCACAATCTAGATGGACAAAGATAATGGCGAAGTTCCCAACAGAAGGCACGACACACTCTACAAAACAATGAAAGTACGAAAGCTGATGCACTGTACAAGACACCTGATCCCCCCAACCTACAGCTAACCCACCCCTCCCATCCGAGGCACTAAAACATCGAACTGACTTGTAACCCATACTTCCAAATTTAGATTTGACAAACTCATCTTCCCTTTTCGTTTCGCTGAGGAAAACAAGGTTTGGCGAGAACCTGGCCACGGCTCCACCGAGAGAGGGAACTGTCAAATGGGAGCCCATCCCCCGGCAGTTCCACACCATGAAGCTCATGGATGGGGTTGGGCCCAGTTGAGGCTGGCTGCCACCGCCTTTCCATACTGAGGAGGGATCGAATCTGCTGATCCAGGACCTGGCCTCGCTCGTTTGGCTGTAAGAGAAGCCAAGTTGGGATTCTCATCGGGAGAAGGAGCATCTTCCTGCAATTGACATGTTGCCCCATCGGAACCCGGTGACAGGAGCTCCCCCATCCGCCGTGACAAGGGCCGCCGAGTATCCCTCCATTCCCCTGCAGCCCCTTCCTCCTGGAGTAGCAGCTGCTGAGACGGAGCCGGCCGAGGAGGGGGGGCCTTGAAGGATCCGCTACTTGCTGTTGACGATGGCCGTGTCTTGGCTGCTCGAATCCATGTGAATCTCCGACTTCGTCTTGCCAGGGTATCCTTGGACACCGCAGGCCCTGATTCGGTAGCTACGGAAAACACACCATACTTCGGGGCAACTCCAGCAAACTCCTCCTTCCTTGTACAGTTCTCTCCAATATGCCCAATGACACCACAGAGAAAGCAAAAGTGAGGTACCTTCTCCAGTTTAACCAAAGCAACAAAGTTACCTCTCGTGTGGTCAATGTGTCCAGCAGTAATCTCATCCGGCAGTGCGGCAGTGAGATCCAGGACCGGCTCCGCTCGAATGTATAACCCGCCCGAGGTATCCGAACGATGGAGCGTAGGCGGTTCCTCAAGAGCACCGAGAGAAGAGGCCAACCGCCACGCCATCTTCTCCGTGAAACAGGCAAAAGGCACCTTCCAGATCTGAACCGGAACAGCAGCCCAACGAAGACGATCGGCCACCGCAGGGGATGGGTCTTCCCACCGCGCCAGCACCAACATGAAATTGTCAAAAATCCAAGGGAATTTGGTAACCGCCTTGTGCAGGTCCGGCTTCTGGGAAAAGAGGAAATGAGTCAACCCCTCATCAGTGGTGGAAATCGTGAGGTCGCCTTTGTACCGCCACACTCGACCCAGCATCATCCTCAGCGCGTAGAGCGGCGTAGGCGAGCCAATTAGCCGGCCGATCAACGAGAGCTCCCCCCCGGGCAAGTCCGGCCGCCAAGTCGTCGTCGTCAAACTGAACCACTGCCATGGTCAAAGAAAACCCACACGAGCAACAAATGTCTAATTGAGAGTCAGAAGAAGCAATTCGGGTACCATCCCCCACCAACGCCCAGCAATTTATAGGCATGCAACCCCGGAGAACCAGGCCGCGTCGCCGCACGACGGCGGGAAGGCCGACGGCCATATGCGCACGAAGGCGGTTACCCCCCACTTCTCCGAAAAGGGGGACACGATTGAGAGCGCTCACTTTTTTTTTTTTTTCTTGGCCCGGAATCCTGTCTTAACCCCCCCATAGTTTAGTGTTCTTTTTCCTGAATGACCATAGTGTTAGAAAGAACCTGCTTTATTTGTTTAATTCCCTAAATATTGTTTAAAGTTGTCTATCAGTTACGGGTATTGCCGGTGTGTCATTTTAATGTGTCGTCTATCAGTTATGTTTTTCATTGTTTTTTTTTTCTCAAAGTAATGTGTCATTTTTGTTTCGGTTTTCAAATTGTTGGTAAGTTATTACCATCAATTTGGGGAGGGTATTAGAGTATGGGTAGTACGAGTAGTATTATAGAAGTGAACCTCTCTACTCTATATAAACCCTATATGATTTCAGTAATTAAACAACAGTTTCCACCATATCTTGATTTATGACAAACGACCCCTTAGGAAAAAGATAATCCAAGAAAAAGAATACATGCAAAGTATGTAAAAAAGAGCAAACAATATGTGAATATAATATATGTCGAAAGTCCTTTTCAATGGCAACCGGTCTTTTACTAAAATCACTCTTGTTGTTCTACCGTTGCCCACTTTGTCATCACCGTCGTTATTCTCCAGTAACAGATCGGCGGCCATCATAAAATTTTCCACCACTGCTACAAGCCGGAAGCTCCCCTCACAATCTCGCTCCCAATGAGTGACCAGCCTAAACCCTATCATCTCTTCTACCTCATGGTATCGATCATTTGCCGTCGTGGCCTTTTTTGTCACCACCACTGCCACAACACACAAATAGTCCCATTGTTGGATTTGTTTAGGAAGCAGGGGCTTAGTCGCTGCCAACAACATTCTGGTCTCATTCTCGTCGATGCTAAAAATCAACATATCCCCCATTTCAAATAAACAAAAGAATCTACCGTCTTTGTAGCCCACACTAAGGCATGTTTGTTCTTTTTTCCCACCCAAGGAGAAATCGTATGTTTTTTGCTCAAACTCACCATTGTTTTCACGACGGAACATGCATAGATAGCAGTCGTCATACACCACGAGGATCGTCGAGTCCTGAGCAGTGGGTAGCGCTGAGAAAGCAAATTTGAGTACTGTGGCAGGTCTGTAATGGACGTCGTAGGTAGAAAAACGCCAACTCGGGTTGGGAAGACTAATGTAGTTTGCAGGACTTCGAAGTAAAGGATTGTACCAGCCCAAAAAAGCATTCCGCACTTTTATAAAAAGCCACACACCCGCCATTCCAAGGATTGTTATATCTTTACCTGCAAGCTCATATGGGATTTGAGATTCACGACGTCGTCGGAGAACAAGTCGCTTACCCTTTCGCACTTTGATGACGTCGGAGCTGGAAAATTTTGCATGGCTAATCAAAACAGGTCGAGGATTGGAAAGGGAGATGTGAGAGTGAATTTGGTGCCAGTTCTTGCATACATCACCAAAGTGAGTACCGTCGACATGAGACGAGAGTCTGTTGTAGATGGAATCCAAGAGATATGGACATATATCAGCCCATGGTCGTTGATCCTCTTCCATGTTCAGGATTCTATCAACTTCACTTCCAGGATTTTATGTTTTCAAATATTATAGATTTTTTTGTGTGGTTTCGATGAAATAATTATTTTTTACATGATTCGATTTTGAGCCTTCATTTTAAAAGGTTGTATGTTGTATGGTGGATTTATAATCAAGGAGATATGTTAGTTCTACAAATATGCACGCAAAAGGTGAAACTGCAATATTATTATTGGGTTGTTGGTTACAATGTGATGAGAAGAAATAAAAGTGCCTGCTTTGACGGCTTATGAAGTGGTCCATATTATCATTTATTCTTACTAACCTAGTGAATGAATCATCATATTCAAAAAAAATTCCTTTTATCTTTTTGTTGCCAGATTTTATATTAGATAAGATAAATCTTTAGAGATTGGATACAAAAAAAAATTAATTTCTCCAAACGAGAATGAGTCTTGTTTTTGCTCACTAACTTTGTGGCTGCCGCTTTCATTATTCGTTGGCCTTTCATCGTAAATTCTATTCCTACTATTTGATGGATTAAGATCACAATATACAATCTGAATCTTCTAAGTTATCTTATTCGAAGTGGAGAACAATGGGGTCCTGCTTGGAATAAAGAAAGGATTATGAATGTGTAAATAATTGTCAATATGAAAAAAATAAAAGGATTATATAACTATAAATAGACAGACCTTTTAACCCCACACCTTCGTTTTATGAAAATAACAAATTGGTCATCAAATGCATTTTATAGTATGACAGTATGTGTTAGGTTATTTACTTGTGGAGCTAAGGCGTATTCTATCTAGATATCAGAAGGTCACTTTTCAACTATAGTTTACATACAAAGTTAGTTACATAGCCGAATAATTTATATCAAAGAGAATGTATTTTATAATTGAATAGAACAATTCATTCATAAATGACAAAATGTCAGTGGACCTATGGAGGGATGACATGTTCAGATTCAAGTCAGCTTACTCATCAATGACTGGAGAACAGGACAAAATGTCAATGGACCTATAGAGGAATCTCTGGAAATGGATAGGATCGAACCAAATTAACCACTTTTTTTGGTTGGTTAGCCACAACCGATGGAACCAACAAAGAAAGAGAAAAGAAAGCTAACAAGAAATGAGAAATTTCACCATTACAACTCCTTTGTGGAAACAACATAATATTTTCTTAGACGATGCAAAAATATTGAGGGTGTTTAGAGTTACACGGAGACAAGCTAATGAAAAAGGATAGCAGTGTCGAGTTTTCTATATGGATGAACAAGAACATGATGGATTCTCAAAGTTGGGTTGATTTCGACATTTTATGTTGGAACTTGTGGATGCAAAGAAATGAAGAAGTATTGGACGACAAGAAGTACTCTGAAACCGGATTGATCCAAAGCATTATTGCTTGGATCAATATCAACAAGCAAACTCAACTAAATGCTACAGAGCGTTGAAATGAACTAAGGGGTCGTTTGGAGAACAGGATTCAGGACATGGATTCATTGAATCCGTAGATTTTGTAGAAAGTTATGTTTTTTTGTTACTTTTTGTATTATGGATTCTAGCTTTAGAGATTTCAAATCTCTAAAATCTGCGGATATCAAATCTCTCATAACCAGAGAGATTCTGTATCTTGATTCGTGAGATTTTTTCTCTCCTAATTTTTCTCTTCCTTTTATTTATTTATCACATGAAATATATTTATCAACAAAGTTTTTTTATATTTCTCGAACCACTCTAATTTTTTATTAAGGATAAACATGTTATTTAATATAAAATGAATTTTTTATTTTACTTGATTGTTAACAATCACAGTTACCAAACAATTAACATTTTAAAATCTGTTTTCAACAATCCGAAGAGTTAGAATCTTTAGATTGTTGATAATCTGTAGATTTAAACTCATATTTTCCAAACGACCCCTAAGTGATTGCTTGGAAACCTCTAAAATAAGGATGGATGCAGGTTCAAACGGATGGATCGATGTTACAGTACAGTATTACAAATCATGGTCTAAAGCAGAGAGACGTACCCATTGAACCACTAAAATACCATTACCGCCAACATGTATGGCACCACTTACCGTACAGTATTACAAATCATGGTCTAAAGCAGAGATCAGCGGAACTTCCGCACTACCAAACACTGCTGCTCCCTGCAACAATCGACCAGAAAGCCACAAGGGTCTCTAAATTAGTATATTACGAAATACAAACAACACAACAACACGAAAAATGGACTCGCTCCTCTGTGCACCACCAACTAAGTTCACAACTGCATCATCGTTTAGTGTCGATGGGAATGCTTTTTCCGGCGACCAAGACGAGACTCTCCATTGTTCTTGTTCCTTAGCTGCGACATCTTCAGAGCGAATGCCAAGAACCCTATGGATGCAATCGGGTAGAAGACTTTGTAGGGGGCCGACCCTAGCCCCGCCATATACGAATAGATGCCGGCGAGGAGATACACAAAATCCAATCGAAGTTCCTTCCATATCATCCTGGGGAAGGAGAACAAGGAGCTGAAGTCTGGATTCGAGCATAGTACGCCATGGAGAATGACACCGATGCATAATGTTGAATCAAGGAACCACGGGAAGCTATGGCCCATGCTGATTCTCTGCAACAACCACACGACTTCGACAATTAAAAACTACTTCATGCTATCAATCATACAGTGGTCAACTGCTACATCCAATTTGCATAATTGATCAGCAAACTGAGGGTCACCAAGAAATCAGTAGCTGAACTCTGAATTTTATCAGTTTTGTTACTGAAGTTTGGAATAAGTATATACATAATAGTTACTCCATCCATCTCCATCAGATTCCCAGTCTTTATTATCCAAGATTAGTGGTCCTACTCCGAAAGAATTAAAATGGACACATAAACCAGAACAGCTTAGCTAAAGAGACTCACTTTTGGCTCTTAACCGATCTAAAGCAAACCGATTGTTCGAGATCCTATTCTAGCATCACATTTCCTAATTAATATCACCCTAATCCATTCCTCCCCTACCTGATAGCTAATTAGAGGATAAATTTTATGTGTTCCCGTTAATAATTTGGTTTACTTGACATACTAATCTGGACATATAATTTGGACCAAGAACTTGACAGGAATGGACAAAAGCTGACTATCTTGTTAGTTACTCCAAATTGTAGTGCCCAATTTGGTAATGATCCCAAAGTTAGTGACTGCCTTATTAACCCCCCCATATACTAGTGAGATAGTTGTAAAACTCGTACCTGCAACCAAGCCACGAAAGAAGGGGCAAACATCAGAGCTGCCATGAGATGTAGTATCAGCAAACCATGCCGGTGATGAAAGATCTCCAATTGTGTGTCGCTGAAGCTCTTCGAACTGTTTGGGCTGTCGGAGCTGCTGTTCTCTTCCAATAGGACGCTCTGGTTGACCCCGACAACTTCACGCTTCGACAAAGGTTGCTGCCAAGATATTTCTTTATCTTTGTCCTCGTGACCAAGGAATTCCTTCTTTCGTGTGTGGCTGCGAAATGAAGCTGTCAAAAAACTGCTACAGAACACGAGCTCTTAGAATAGAGAGTTTATACTTCATATTTGAGGACAAAAAAGAGAGGTCGTAGTTAAAAAAGAAGTCAATGATTTTCCAAATCAAGAGATTACGTAAAATCATAAAGTAGAATGAAATCGTGATCATCAGATCGAACCATGTATATTGAGTAATCACACAGTAACAAAATAGCAATAGTGATATAGCATGTTCGAAATGTAGAATAAATGAACGATTTTTATCAAATGGGTCAATATGTACGAGAATAGGTACCCACATTATGGATATCATAAGATTTAATACATTAATTACCAGGTACGAGTAAATTGTAACCTCTAAAAATGGATATATTAAAATAGAAAAAGAAAAAAAAAGATCTAATCTGGGATTTCAACAAGAGAAAGGCAAGCGAAGTTATGGAATATGAAGCTGAAACTACCTGCATAACGCATTATGACAGCATATAGCATGAGCTAACAGGAGGGTAAGTAAACCCAATGCCGGGTGGATGAAAGACCCAAATGTAACTGCCATTAGCGCAGTGAGTACTGACGGGCTGGCTCTTATTACCCTCATGGCCTGCTTTGCACATTAAAGTAAATAAGCAGCACAAGCCTCATCAAACTACCAACAATGCTGACTAATTTACACAAGGTTTAAGTGACAGATAAGAAGCTGACCTTCAGTGAGAAGAAACCAGATGAAAGAGTAATAAACCAACGAAGATACGCAAAGCAAAACTTTGTTTCCCATTGTTGCCACCTGTGAAGTATTAATCTTTGTCAGTCTAGTTAGTGAATATCAGGCAATATGAAAGTATAAACATTGGTAAATTGAACAGGCTACAGTATTGTCCTTTCCAAAGCTTTTCTCTTAGTTAAACGTCAATCACAATTATGATAGACATCATCCTTAACACAGTGCTGGCAAGAAACATATAAAACCGACCTTGACTTGATGAACACATGTGTGAGAGCAGCTGCATAAAAGAGGAATTGGGACACCCAGACCAGTATGGCTCCAACCCCATTTGCTAATACATAGCAAATTATGGAGACAGCAATGAAGCTTACAAGCGGAGGAAGAGGCTGTGAATTTAGCACACAAACAAATAATGAAAGCAGGAGGGGGCTGAAGCCTAAAGGCGCAAACGGCAAAGGCATCTTCAAATTGGACTCCATGGCTGTAAGTACTGACGGTATAGGCAAATCAAGATCCCATGCACGCACTTGCTGCATTAGAGCAAAAAATATCACTGCAAAGAAGGAACCCACTATCTGAAAAGAAGAAAAAGCCCAGTGTAAGAGTTCAACGCATTTTGGATATTCAGGCTCTATAGAACTTGTAACTGATAATAATAACTAATATAGGAATGGTATCAAACTTTTTACCTGTGAACTATAAAGAAGCAAAAATTTGCCAGCAGCTGCTGTTAGAGAAGCAGCAAAGGTCAATTCATAAGAACAATGAGGATCAACCTGCAAAGAGAAGCAGAAAAAAGGAACCTTCAATGATAAAAGAAACACTACATTCCAAATAACAAAAGCAAACAGGACAAGGACTTATCCAGCAAATGTTTACCACTTACGAGTAACAGCACGGAGGTTTTTCCTGATCCTGGAGAGGAACTCAGAAGTGCTGGTGATGAGTCAACTGTAACTGTTTCACTGTACGCATTTGGAAATACATGAAGCCCGGATGTTGAATCCCATGCCAAAGCAACAGGTGGAAAGCAACGCAATTTGCAAAGCTCTGAAATAAGAGTAAAGCCAGTTCAGGAGGGGGGAAAGTGAAGGGAAATAAGTGTTTCCGTGACAAAATTAGCTTCCTTACTACTGTTATCCATGTCTCCAACCTCTTCATCAGGAAGCCCGGACCTTTGTATTCCGCAACCAGTAGCTTTCAGAGACAGTGAAGTTGGCAAAAGCCCTAAGTTGATATCAAAGGATAAATTAAGAGCAATAGGATGATCCTCTTCCAGCAGTACATCCTAGAAACACATTATGCAATCAACCAGACCAAGTCAGTCGTCCAGTTCATGAACTAAACTGAATGCTTTTCAGATCTGGAGTTTCACAAACTGAGAAAGTGGGTAGAATTTCCAATATTAACCTTTGAAGAATAAGCAGATAGAAGAAGTGCTGGAGCAGATAACACTCTTTCTCCATCCTTCGCATCAAAGAATTGGCCAACTGCCATAGAAGCTCCTGGTGGAGGTCGGCCTGAAACAATCTGAACATCAGGAATTCATCAAATGTCAATCACTAATGTCAATTCTATTGACTATATTAGTCAACAAGATGACAGCACATCTAAGAATGAAAGTACCGAAAGAAGAAGTATACAGTATACTCCAATGTGTGATATATGGAGCAGCTTCAAATTATTTAGCAAATCCAGGGAACTATTAGACAGACAATAATACTACTTCAACAAGGTGGCTTGGTTGATTGCTCAGCAGCCTCAGAGACAAAATCAATGGTTCCACATTCCTGGGACGGGAGCTCATTAGTGAGAGTTGCTACTTAAACTGTGTTACTGTACCTAAGAGGTAACTAACCATCAATACCAAATGCAACCAACTCCTGAATACAATACACATAAGTTTAGCAGTAAAGACAGATAACAGAGTCAACAATACCGGACGAGGAGCAATTGAAATTGTCAAGAATCTGAAGCCTTGCATATCTTCAGGAGTTAGACGAAGTACAGAAGATGGAGGTGCTTGTTCAGTCTGACTACCGGGCTCCATCTGAGACACATACAGACGATTTAGTATATATGTCATGCAGCTTCAAACACATTGTTACAATCATATAGTGAGTGGGGTGCTGGGTGGGGGTGGGGGTGGGGAGGCTGTGAGAATTCGAACTCAAGACAATTGGTACCTGTACTGGAGCTGGTCCTGATGGAATCTGCACCAACTTGGATGTAATCTCAATAACCCTTTTGTCTGAAGGCGAGTCTGAATTTGACTTGCCTTTTTCAGGCCACAGGTGAAGTCTCGCCCCAGAACATGGAGCAAGATTAGTTACAAACACAAAGTGACTCTTCCCGTTTGATCCCTGCATACAAAGTTGTAAGGAATTTGAACGTTTAGGAGGTTCAGCTAGAAAGTAGAAGTGAAGTGAAGTCTTAACTAAGCATGGACATAAATGCTATAACTGCACCGAATATTCATTGGTCAACCATCAATTCTTAACTGCTAAGAATCAACTAGTAAGTGCCAGGAACTCGAAAAAAATATAGATGACAAAGATACATTAGCAAGGCAGATAAGTCAAAATCTAGCCTGTTGATTTTTTTCGTTGAATTCTAGCCTCTTGATATTCACAAGGAGAACAAAGGAAATATTTTCAAATGCTATTTCATCCATCAAAACCAGCTATCTAAACAAATAAAAATTGTTGACAAACTTCTTAAGAGTACTGAAGCGAGTGTTCCCAAAGCTAACCAATTTATGTATGTCCAGCCACCTTCTTCTTCCATCCATTGCCAAGACTGTCACTGTAATAGTTTCGATATACAGATCCCTCTCTAGCCCATCATCTTTCCATATAAGATTGTTGGGGCAACCAGGTAACCTAGCCACTTGACCACCTAGACAAAAGAAAAAGGCACCAACTTGAGAAGCTGCGCATACGATAACCAAAGTTTTATTGTTCGAGGTCAGCTTCTACTTCGTTTCTCATAGAGATAGACGTATATTATATACACAATCCAAGTTAAGACTCCAAAAAACTATAGTTACTCAAAGGAACTCCCTTCAATAATCAGAAACATTCCAGTCCTTTGTTGAGCCTCATACAAGTTATTGCATTTTGAACTTCATTTCAAATTTTCAAGCGTCTATACACCATCACAAGACATAGTCAAAAGCAATGCATAATCTTCAAGCCATATAGTTACCATGAACATTTGAATCCGGCTGACTTGTCCATTGGAAAGCATCAGGTATCCCACTACGAAGCATCCTAGCGAATACGGAAAGTCTTTTTTGTCTTTCAGGAAATGGCACACCTGTTTTTGTATCTACCAAGTTGAGGAGAGTTTGTGATACCTAATAGGGAATGCATGGTCAGCAATGTGGAGTATCCACACTCTAAAGTCTAGAAACAACTCTACTCACTTGTACAACCAGTTGATTGCACCACAAAATAGCCTGGTGCTCCATGGATAGCCATACATTTCTCATGCTGGTACTGCTAATAAAAAATCCGTGTGTAGGAGGCACAATCCCGTCTAGGGTTTCTAACTTTGTTCGCACCTGAAACACGAGCAGAAAGATCAATACATAGAAGAAAATCTGTCAAGAGATACATCTAGCCATTTACTATTGATGGTGAAGGAAGTAAACTTCCTTATAGGCATAATACACATGCCCTTTGAACTTAAACAGACACCAGAGCTGGGAAAGAAGGAAGAAACTCACACATTTTCTGGCTCTCAGAAGAACCAGAAGAAATAACTTATTTCCACCACAATATCCATACGATATGCCAGTTAAGTAAAACTTGGATCTTTACAGGCCATTACAGTCCACAGCTTTAAAAGGATGATAAAGAAAATTGAAATAACAAAGGGGAATTGAGACCAGTAGGCATAATCAGTTCCTACAGAGCAATGGAATGAATCATAAACCAAGACCAACAGAGTTGAGTTAAGGACACACATTGTCCCATGCATTTCCAAAAAACAGAAACAAAATAGTAATCAATTACTACATATCAATCACAAGACTAAACTTCAGCTCCAATATATAACCCAAAATGTAATGAAAATGGGATGACATTAACTCAGATCGAGTTGCCCTTTCAACGAACCTGGTAATCGTTATAACCACCGGAGATTGAGACAACAATAACATTGGAGAGATCGGTAACATATGATGCAGCATGAGTACTCTGGACCTCATACCCCTTCCTCCATTCACGGTTAACATGCTCAAAATAGTGGCCCAATGATGGTTGTAGTGCCACTGGAGGTGACCTGGATAAGGTGGTCACTTTCTTTATTAGTCAATCAACTTTGTCAGACATGAAAGCCAAGCTAATACATGAGCCACAAAACTCACTGATGTGGGGTTGAAAGTGTAAGAATAGTCTCAACAGCAGCCTTCCTCAGACGGGGATGGATCATAGCAGCTCTAGCAACAAAACCGCCCATGGAATGACCAACCAATATCACACTCTTTGGCAAACTACTAGATGCGGCAGCACCTTCCTTTTCTCTGACATCATGGGAATGCTTATACTGATCCAAAATCTGAAAATTTGAAATTATAACAAGTAAAAAAATCGTGTAGCGAAACCAATTTTGGCAGAGGTGGTGAACACGTTCGTGAAGGATCTCATACTTAGATTGGAATCAAGAATTTGGTAATCACTGATGGTGAAAATGTTGCAGAATCCACATAAAGCAATTCGATGAGAGAAACCCATCTCATTCAGCCATGAAGGATTGACAAAATAAATTGAGCTTTTAGCTAGCAATCATTATTTGCACATTCCCTTATCAAAGTTCAAGTCATTTCATCCAAATTACTACTGTCTTAGTTTGTGTGGCATAATCCCCATTCCCCAACATTATTAAACCAACGTGACAAAAGCTGCAATACCCTGTGGATGGCATACACAACATATTCAGTGTGTTCTTCAAGTATCTGACCATCCATTGCAGAATGTTCACCTTCAAGGTCCACAGCAAACCAGTCTAGCCTATTCTTGTATTGGGTGGGCAATTCAAAGCCAGCCAAATGCGTGTCCGCTCTCCCTTCCTCAGAAGTCAAACCAGCCTCATGATGAAATGTGCTCTCTGGCGGACCTCCTTGGTATGCCCTATCTGATTCAGCAGCCACAGACCTTACCTGCAACGAAAAAATCGGTGATATTTGAGACGCATGCAACATGAAGTTCAACAAGAATCTCCTGCAATAAAGATTGTGGAAAAGAAGAGCCAAAACATCGAAATCCTAGTTCATTATAGTACTTGTACAAGCACCATGCTTACTCAGCTAACGCCAGTTGATGCTAATGCCCGCCTAGATAAACTGAGAGATATCAAATGCATACGAATATCGTAACTTTCTTAGATGTAACCAACTCTACAATCGAAAAGGTTAACTAGACTCTACAATGGCCAAGTGAATCGGCGACAAGAGTAGAAAATGTTGCCTGTTTGAAGCTGCCACCATTTCCAGGGATGAAAAGAACGGGAACGCCACTAAGCTGCTTCAAATGCTCGTCGAAATCGATCTTCTTCCAGCCTTCATGGTAAAGGTACAAACCATACTTACCGGAAGCTGCAGCAGCATCACCGGCGGCCGAGATGGGAATGTAAGTCGGATACATATAAGTCATGACGCATCCATTGGAGATTGGCTTCAAAAGTGAATACAAACCGAGCAGAGCAATCCAAAGAGTTAACGCAACCACTGCGGCCAACCTAAATTTGGCCCTGAGTCCTTGCATTTCTCCCGGATCAAGCTCCAGGAAATATATTCCTAAGTGGTGGAAGCAGAAGATCTGAGCCTAGGTACCAGAGAGTCGGTGATCGAGAACCGAAGCAATTCTCATAGCAACGTAGAAGAGTGAGGAGGGATGCCGCTTGATGAAGTGAGAGTGATGGAGATGGAGTGAGACAGTGGACGGTTGAAAAGGACCAGAACGGCGCCGGAGAGCAGCTGGAGAGGTTCCGGCGAGCAGGAGAGATCGGAAATTGGAATCCGAAGTGAGGAAGAGCGCGAACAGAGAGTTCAGCGATGAATCATGGAGAGAGGCGATGAAGAGTGAAGACGATGAAGGAGAATAGGGCCTTGCAGGTCTTATCTGTTATTGGACCCAAACTATTGGGCTTTATGCTATGGGTTAATAATGGCCCATAAACAGGGGAAGAAAAGCTCACCTAGTAGTTCAGTGTTGTTCAATTCCTTTCACGTTGTAACTCGTACAAGAGATTGGTATGAAAATTGAAGAGTTCATCATGTGATCTTGACCTAAGTCTGAATTATATTAGAATAGAAATTGTAAATCTATTATAAAACAAAAATTTGGCCACTTTGAAGTGATAACACAAGAATTTCAAATTAACATGTGCAGTCTAATAATATTGATAATATTCTCACTAGAGGCTAAACAAAATAGTTTTGTCAAAATCAATACAAGCGTGATAATCTTAGAGTCAAAAAGAGTAGGCATATATAATAAACAAACCAGTGTTGTAAAATCGTATTGTACTAGTTAAATAGCATACAAGATACTTGAATGATACAATCGAAAGAGAAAGACTTAGACTCGAAACTAGGATAAAAGAAATGAAGGAAATCTCCATTGGTAATGTCCCGTAATATTACATTTCAATACACGGGAAGAAAGAAAGAGAAGAATTACTCAAACACATGGTAAACTTGACAACATTTACTCTAATCGGATCCTACTCTCCTCAATGAATACGCCTCTCCCCTTGTTTCTTGGAAATCATTGTGCTTAAGTAAACATGTAGGTGGTTTGGGGTTTAGGAGATTTGAGGAGTTTGATCAAGCTCTGTTGGCGAAAGCGGCTTGGCAAATCTGGAAAGAGCCTAATTCTCTGCTGGCTAGGGTGCTTAAAGGAAGGTATTTTCCCAACTCCTCCCTGCTGGATGCCAAGGTGGGATCTCTTCCTTCTTGGGGGTGGCGAGGGGTGCTGCATGGACGGGATTTGTTGGTACAATGTCTTCGATGGCAAATTGGCTCGGGTGAGTCGGTGGATGTGCTAATAGATAATTGGGTGCCAACGTTACATCCCTGTCCTCCGAAACCTCGTAATGGGATCATTGGGGTTGATGGATCTGTTGCGTCTTTAATATGCCCGAATAAAGGGGTTTGGAGGGTGGATTGCTTACGTCAAATCTTTGAGGAGGAGACTGTCCGGGCTATTCTGGCTATTCCTTTGCCTATTTCCCCAGTGCCTGATCGGATGGTATGGAACGGTGAGCAATCAGGTCTTTATACGGTTAAGTCTGACTATCACTTAGCTGTGGAGTTAAGGAGGCAGAAAGAGCTAAGGGTGAAGGTGAAAGCACATGTGTGGGATCGTAGCCTCTGGAAAAGGATTTGGGGGTCTTCCATACCTCCCAAGTTGCGGTATTTCATCTGGCAGCTGGTTCACGCTGTCTTGCCAACTGGTGAGGCACTGAGTACTCGGGGGGTTGGGGGGCTGGAGCCATGTCCAGTATGCGGGGAGGAGGGTGAGTCTCTTGAGCATCTCTTCTTCCGTTGCCGAGTGGCGGTAAGGTTGTGGGAAGGGGCGGAGCTTGTGGCTATTCGGGATCGTTTTCCCATCAGCAATATGGGTGTCTTTTGGCGCAGGTTGCTCGAGTGGAAGGAGCTGGATCAGGCGGCCCTGATGAGAGTTGTGGCCCTCTTCTGGCGTGTTTGGAAGGCCCGGAACTTGATGGTTTTCGAATTTACTCAGTATATTCTCCCGGTGTTGCTGTCTCAATTTCGATTGCAGGTTGCAGAATGGGTGACTTTACCCATTAGCCGGGGTTCTAGCCTTTCTTCAGGGAGCACAGTTGTCAGGGGCAGAGAGGACGTTTCGCTAGGTGGCCTGGTAATGTTCGTGGATGGGACTACGTCTAGTGGGTCTCACGGTGTAGGTGGTTGGGTTCTTAAAGACCCCACGGGTATGGTGGTGGCGGCTTCAGCGGCATTGTACGAGGGGATCTCAGAGCCGGCTCTTGTGGAGTTACTAGCTTTCCGGGATGCTGTTCGATGGTGTTTGGCGTGTGGGTTGCTTTCGATGAATTTTGCAGGTGACGCTCAAGTGATTTTGAGGAAGATTCGGGATGGTAAGGTAGCCGACGTCGCTGGGGGTACGCTTTTGGAGGAGATAAGAAGTCTGCGAAGCTTATTCCAGGAGTTTAAGGGTATTTTTGTTGGTCGGGAATGTAACAGGGTTGCCCACTTGGTGGCAAGAAAAGCTCTTTCGTTGTCCCCCTCCTTAGTGGGGTTCAATTTTGTTTCTTGGCTGTTTTCAGCTATGTGACTCTGTATCTGGCTGTTTTCTCGGTAATACGAGTGATCTTTTGGGGAAAAAAAATCATACTCTCCTCATGAAACCAAAAGGCATATCCTTTCCCACTCTTCACATTCTTCCCGGCTCTCCCTCTCTCATCATCTCTCGATCCGTAACTTACAAAAAAAGACGCAATATCATGAACAAAGGTCTTCTTCCCCTACCCTAATACGAGAAATTGTGACATCGAAACAAAATAAACTTTTTCACCCAGATCGCAACATCCTCCGCACATGCCTTAGTCTGAGGAGTCTTCAGCAGCATGTCGAGGGTAGCAAACTCGTGAACTGCATCCTTGTACTCCAGAACAGGAGCATCGACATTCACTTTCCCCAATTCCTCGGAGTAAGTGATGGCCCTATCCCTCATCCAAACTTGTTCTGCTACCACCGTGAAGGTGGGCCGCAAGAGCTTCAATATGGTGGGCCACCCCTGTCCTGGACGAGAGGGTTGGCAGCCGGGGTGATCGAGGCTGAACTCTTCCTCCGGGAGGAAGAGCTTCCAGGTGAACAAGCACATTGACTTGTCATACAAGTACGAGTTTGCCAGCTTGATCTCAGAATGTGTTGGTATGTTACCTATGAAGAAGGAGTAAATTAGCACTTGTGCGACAATCTTGATGGGGTCCAGAAGCTTTCCTACTTTAATGGCCTTTCTAGATGTTTGCGATGTTAGCGCCGCAGCTCACCCCAAGAAGAACACATCTGTTTATGCAGGACATGAGACAGGGGAATCAATATCATATTCCAGTTTAACAAAATGAAGGCAGAGGACCTCAAACATGATACCTAGAATTCACTTGAATATTATTAACAATCAACTAGCCTAAGATGGAAGATAGAAGTGGGAAGAACATCAAAGAGGGATGGAGTGAATCATCTTTCAGCTATACATAGATACTACTACAAGTTAAAACAGATAAGACGTCGACAATGAGTCAAATAAACCTAAAGCTCGTTGTTATTTAAGGGATGGGGCTGCTCTCCAGATATTGGACAACTGCTACTAGAGCAAGAGTGGAGAAACAAAACCTGTTGGGGCATAAATTTCACTTTTACAAAATTTTACAGGCTAAAATATGGTGCTTGAAACCTATGACCAAGAAGTCTAAACAGGGAGCACTCGTTAAAAGAGGTGGCAGTTCTCAATCCAATCCACCAATCCGTTAAAAATATCCAACTAATCCAATCATTTTACATCCAATCCATTTGATACAAATCCAATTGGATTGGTGGACTCATGGATTGGATTCATGTCATTGTCAAATTATAGTTTAGTAACTATAATTTTCATTTGTTTTTACATTTTGATACCTAAAATTTAATTTTTTTATACAAAAAATATCATTGAAAAATTAAGTTTTGGTACCTAAAATTTTTTATTATGACATTTTAGTACCTAAACTTTTCACATTTTACATATTGGTCCAAGGTTGAGGATGGCAGTTGGATTAATGAATAATCCACTTGATCTAATCCATTTGCCACCTCTACTCACTAATACAGATCCTCTCCATAAAATTTTAAAGGCGTCGAAATCTACATTCCTGGTTCTGCTCCTCCAATCTTCAAATAGCTTAGTAAGTTTACATCATTCACCAGCACAGGAAAAAGATCTATGACTTAGTTTCCCTAGTTAAAACGGCTGATAACGGAAACATGGAGGAGATACTGCAGAGAAGCTAGCATTCGCTAATCAGTTCCAAGTTATTGCACATTCCCAAAGTTGAAGAGCCTCAAACAATTAGGGCGACAGCCAATGGAGCCGAAGGATCATCAAGAAAAATAAAATTTGAATGCAACTAGCAAAAAAATTTAAAGGCTAAATTTGTCAAGAGTAGCTTTGAGCCATTGTGGGGAAATGGTAACCTACAGAATCAAAAGCAACACGTATATACAATTATGCATGATAGATTTGAAAAGAGTATCTTCAAACCACTGTAGGGGAATGGTAACCTACAGACTCAAAAGCAACAAGTATAGCATACAACAGTACTAGGACCACATTTTCGACAAATAATTACAAGAAACTAATTCATGAAGACAACAAGATATAACCAATTCTGGGATATCCATCAGCACTTTCTAGCCACTCTAATCACGAACAGGACGATAGGCTTCTTTCAGCAGAGACTTTTGTTGCCATGTACAACGATCATTACTGCAGCAAAACAGAGGAGGAAAACCTAGGACAGACGTAAGAAGTTCCAAGACTCCCAGGAAATTAAGCTTAAAAATCAAACGCCGAATGACATTGGAGCTTCCTAAGCCAAGTATCCAGCATATAGTACATAAAGTTACTACCATCTAATAACTTGCAGAATATGATTCATAGCCTAGGAACAACGAATTTCACATCCTTAATACATAGCACCACAAAAATCCAAACAAATGACCAGCATTGTGAGCTACTGCGCACACACATTGAAGAGCTTCTACCTCCAACATTTACATAAGATTCTGTCATGTGCATTTATTTAATAGAATAATTATTTAATTAGGAGTTGTTATGGGTGGGGATTATGACGTGATCAGTGGGAATTAGTGGGTTAGTGGTTACTTGAAGTAGGGACTTAGTTTAGGTTTGCTTTGTTGTTTCCGTTAGTTCAGTATTTTGTAGGGTTATTAGTTTTGTATTTAAGGTAGCAAAGTGACGGAGAAAAGGAATCAATCAAGCATAATCAAGAAAAGGGTTTTACACACCTACGTGTTAATTTGGGAGGTTGGCTTTCCTCGAAAAAGCTTAGGGGTTACGTTCTCGCCATTAAAGAGAACACTTCTCTTCTACCATTCTATCAATCTTCCTCCATTCTTATTCTTCATATCCCGATCTTTCGCCCTAAATTCTATTCTCCGGAAAGGGCACGTAACATTTGGTATCAGAGCCGGCTGATCCTACGACAATGGAGGTTCGAGCAAAATCACTTGATTTTATGCTGGAGGCGATGGTGCAAGAGAACGACATGTTGAGGCAGGTGATGCGGGAAGGTTTTGCCTCTCTCAATGAGAGGTTCGATCGATTGCTAGCATTGCGGGAGAAGAAGGAACCTAGCATGAAGTTTGTCAATGGTGCCAACGGGGTAGGAACCGGCAACCCAATGAAGCCCAAAATCAATCGGCCCCAAGCTCTCAAGAAATCGGTCGAGGCTGGCGTTGAAACTGCACCATCAATGTCGGCGGCCGTGCCGCTGGCGAGTGTGTTGCATCCATCGATCCCCGCCGCCGCTACTGTCCAAGTTGAGGCGCTACAACACGACGCCCTGCAGCAGGTCATCACCACAGCCTCGAAAAGCATCGTCGTTATGAAGGACGTGGAAGATGAACGGCCAAACAAAAGTCCAGCTGGTGCTCAAGAAATCACTACAAGTCCTCCTGGTCAAATTCTCCCAATTGGGATAATTAATCTCCAATTAGAAGTGGCACGTCCTCAAGTTTTGGTTCTGATCAAGGCTTCACACTCTCCATTATCAAAACCACTGATGAAAGTTCAAGTTGGCTTTGCAAGGGGGGAACGACGACGGTTTTCAAGATCACTACCCATGTGGGTGTCAAAGAAAAGAAGTGAAGGGGTTTACTCTTCTATACTAGTTTTTGCCATGAAGCTCGTTGGGTTAAAAAGGCACCAATGCGACACCATTTTTCAAGTTGGAGTAGCTAATTGGAAGTTTAGAAAGAAAGAAAACAACCACAATGGAAGGGGGATCGGCGGCAACGACTTAGCGGCGACAAATACTCACCATTATCAAGTGCCGGCTGATTCTTGAGGGCAAGAATCTTTCGTAGCGGAGAGGAATATCATGTGCATTTATTTAATAGAATAATTATTTAATTAGGAGTTGTTATGGGTGGGGATTATGACGTGATTAGTGGGTTAGTGGTTACTTAGAAGTAGGGACTTAGTTTAGGTTTGCTTTGTTGTTTCCGTTAGTTCAGTATTTTGTAGGGTTATTAGTTTTGTATTTAAGGTAGCAAAGTGACGGAGAAAAGGAATCAATCAAGTATAATCAAGAAAAGGGTTTTACACACCTACGTGTTAATTTGGGAGGTTGGCTTTCCTCGAAAAAGCTTAGGGGTTCCGTTCTCGCCATTAAAGAGAACACTTCTCTTCTACCATTCTATCAATCTTCCTCCATTCTTATTCTTCATATCCCGATCTTTCGCCCTAAATTCTATTCTCCGAAAAGGGCACGTAACAGATTCTTCCTGGTTATGGATTATGTTAAAATGAGATTAGAAAACAAAAACCTGGAAGGATCACCATGAGCGGCTAACCAAGGTTCCACAACTGATGCTCCAAACTCGTCAACAATATGCCTATCAGCATATGCGGACTATCAGCTCTCTTAAACTCCGTGGAGGCAACCAGGGATGGCAATTAAACTCATGGTCACGGGTACCCGACCGCCCCCGACCTAGTCAACGCGGGGAATCCCCACTTTGACCAGGTATGGGGCGGGTATGATTTTAGCCTCCCCGTCCCATACCCATACCCATACACTGATACACATACCCGTCCCACCAAGAAAATTTCTTCACATACAAAAAAAATATGTGGATCAAATTGTAATCTATCAATGATGATGAGGATAACTCGAGAAAAAAAAAGTAGAAATGCAATTGAGTGACCACCCTAATCAAAACCTAATTCATTTCCCTTGATTCTCCTTTCACTCTTTCACTTTCCCCCTTGTCAAAAAGATTATTTTAGTTAATTATTATTACTTAGTATATGTACCAGAGTTAGAACATAATAATTTAAAAAATATTGTACTCTATGTTATGTATTAATGGATGTTTTAGAATCATATTCTTTGAACCGTATTAAGAAAATGATCATTTTTTGTTGACTCCATGATATAATAGGTTCGTTTAGAGTTATAATTAAAACTTTTATTGTAAGTTTGAGGTATAATAATGTTGGATGTACGGGGACGGGTAATACTCATGGGTACCCAAAACCCACGGGTATGGGAATGGAATTGCAAAACATTCCCCGCGTATGGGTATGGGGCGGGTATGGATTTGGGTATTTGAAGATGGGAATGGGGATGGTTTAGGCAAACCCGCCCCATTGCCATCACTAGAGGCAACCCCTCTCGCATTGCCCATCGATTTGCTACATTCCGCCAAATTTGCCTGCTTCGCCAACCAATTCAACACTGTTATACCATCCTCAAAAGCCGGAGGATACTTATTATCTAGTGCCAACCTGTACCCCATTGCCACCACAATCATGTCGCATAGCTTCACAATCCTCCTACAGAAGCAAACATTCGCCACCGAGTTACTTCTATGCTTGCAGCCTTTGTACAAATTTTAAATCTCTTACTAGAAAGTATATCTATTGTTATTGGACTCTAATTATATATGATGATATCACTAGCAATGGTTCATCAGGTGGATCAATTAATGAAAGAGGTGAACCGCTTGAGAAAATAGGTAGACCATTTGATGTAAGTCATAGACCATTTTTTGTATAGTGTCTTTTAGTGGAAGAGGTTGACCGTTTGTTGAACACAACAAATGGAAAATAGTACATCTGGTTGACCATTCCAACAATGAGGTCGACCATTTTGTCCAAATAGGCTGACCATAACAGTGAAGAGGTCGATCGTTTTGTCCAAATAGGCCGACCTCATCAGTGAACAGGTCGACCGTTTTGTCTAAGTTACGGTGACTTGCAAG